CCGAGTCTACCACCAGACGCCAAACTCCTGCAGAATCCCACTCACCTACTGACAGGAGCACGGAGAGTGTGGAGAGAGTGCTGCGAGACACACACCACGACAGAGGCAATGGAACAGTCAACAACTCCACCAGTGGCAGAGAAGACATCGACACAGTACAAACCTGCATGGAGACCTGCTACAGCCACGTGCCACAGGAGAAACTCAAAGATATGGAGATGTCAAACCGTGACAACTTTGCCTGGGACGGCATCCACCCGGGATTCGTGCTGGGACTCTGGCTAGAGAACTACCACCGACAGAAATTCTGCAGCGACTGGGTGCCTTCTCGGGACTGCGAAGCTACCAGCCCAGAGACCAGAATACATAAAACGGGTGACATAATAGGTGACCTAACCGAAACAATCCAGAGAACCCTGACAGGGTACACAGTTACGTTCGACGAAGGTTACTATCCACGCTACACCGTCCACCCTCCGTGCAATTCCGCTATCGATATGGGGGTTCGGCACTTGGAATACATTGACGACGACTGGTATGTAACAGATTATGATATAAGCTGCCATTAGATCAGACCAACCATTCTATCATATTATTTATTTACTTTTTCAGTGCAATTGAATCACTTATACTCTATTAGGGATATTAGGCATTATATCTATATATATGTGAGATTTTTATTATATTTTTGAAATTCAACCGAAAATTATCTGTTTTATGAGCACACAAAGCGTTAGCACGGATAGAAAATGTATTGTGGATGTATCAACCAGTGTAGCAGACTGCGCAACTCATTGGCTACTTACGGCCAGAATACATGGGTACATAATATACATATGTACATAATACACTTATGAATGTATACGCACGCCTATGAATATGTACATGTGGACGTTTGAGGGACCACATCAGGATACGAGGCAGTCGATGGCTGATTTGCCATTGCCACTCGTTAAGTATTATTTGAAGGGAGGTTCTAGTTTACTGTTTGTAGCGAGCCTTTGAGTGTATAGGGTAGGCCTACTTTGGCATATTACGCATACAAAATATTTGGGAGCGTAGTTACGTGCTTATCCGGGCTTGTAGGCGAGACGAAAGTACTCGTGCAACTTCAATGTAAGAGGTATATATACGACACGTTGCAGAAATGACTTTATGTTGGATCGTAGGGCACAATGATTGTATACAGTGGAACCTAGCTATTCCGGCCACACTTGGGACCTGAAAAAGAGGCTGGGTTAGTGAGGTGGCTGATCTCAGGGTAAGGTTGTTTGGGAAACATGCACAGGTTGATCAATCCGTTCCAAAGCCATTGACTGCTTCAGTGAGGTGGCTGGATTTCAGAGGCTTGGATTAGCGAGGTCCCACTGTATACTTAATCAGCCAAAGAGCAGTAAGTACAGGATTCACTGGACAACAAAATGGAAAAACTCCTTAAAATATGCACTGTGATTGTTTTCATTTGTCTCTTAAAGACACACGGCCGTGAGGGGAAGGATTAGAGTTGCTGGCCGAGAAGGGGAAGGCACAAGAATAGGAGCTGTAGGTGCAAAGTTATGCTTGCGAGTGATGCAACCCGTGTCAACAAAAACTGACAAAACTAGCAATCGGAAGAACACCCACAGTAATTATCACACCATTGTATATGTACACATCAGGAGGGGACATGTGACACTCTACACGGTGAATCCTCCAAAGAAGGACCCTTTGAGTAAAGGACACCTCTCCACGAGGGACACTTGGTTCTGCCCACTACTATAATACATTAATGCGGTACCAAAATGACTTCGGGTGTATTTTCCATATACCTTGTTAGACCCATGGGGTTAACCTATATACACAAATGTCAGACTGTCCCAGGGGTAACTTCAGGCTGCTAAACACTCAACTGTAGCTGGTGGGGCCAAACCTAGCAAGCATTGATTTAACACCGTACCATGGCAGCCGGGTTAACCTATATACACAAATGTCAGACTGTCCCCGGGGTAACTTCAGGCTGCCAAACACTCAACTGTAGCTGGTGGGGCCAAACCTAGCAAGCATTGATTTAACACCGTACCATGGGCAGCCGGGTTAACCTATATACACAAATGTCAGACTGTCCCCGGGGTAACTTCAGGCTGCCAAACACTCAACTGTAGCTGGTGGGGCCAAACCTAGCAAGCATTGATTCAACACCGTACCATGGCAGCCGGGTTAACCTATATACACAAATGTCAGACTGTCCCAGGGGTAATTGCAAAATCTTGACATGTGCAGGAAGAATTTAAAGCTTCCTCATATTCTTCCTGCACATGACCAAGTTATGCCGAAATCTCTTACATTTTGCTTCCTGCACATTCCCCATACATGATATGAGTTTCTTGTTAGGAGCAAACGCCTGATTTACTTGTGTGGCCATACTTGGACAGTGAAGCCGTACATATCCCCGCCATAGCAGAAACCCTATAGCTACTGGTAGTCAGAGGTTACTTCCACAGCCGAAACAGGTATGCACTGTACGTAAGAAGGTAGTATAAACCTTCCTTCAATCAGTGTCAAAACACTCTGAACTCCCTTATGTAAACAACGTAACGGATGGTACGATGTCAGTGTCAAATCACGGAGGGGGAAGCAAAGTACTTACTACTGTATGTCATTGACTGGTTTAATGAGGTTCTTGCAAACATAAATCGATAAAATCACTCACTACCAGTACACATAGGGAATGTGCAAGTCCCCCCACCTACTTTCACAAAGAGGGGAAGGTAAACAGGAGCATCATACGTTATGCACACCTACCACTATTGGATACTTCCATCCGATTTGTGTTTGTATTGCCGTAAGGGGAAATAAGGCTATGAATAAGATTAGCAGCGCAGAGTGTGCTAAACGGTAATGAGTGAGCACATTTCACGTGGTACACATGTCACACACCAGTAATTTGTAGCATACCTCGGATTGTCACATGGAGGATACACTTTTCAAAGCATGTTTTTCTAACTAATGTATATATTGGCTCTTGGAGAGTTATGACTGAGTCCCTTTGGACGCCTTGGGGATCTGCTTAAATAAGCATTAGTGACCATAAGATAAGTATGCCAAGTATGTGGTGTCTGTATAAACAGTTTACACAACCACTTCCAGGGCTCAGGTGCCCCATTGCCACAACTCAGCTGCAAATGAAGCCAACTGTTGTCATGAATGTTCCTTAGACAACTTATGGCGCTATATATCAGTAATCTTGTTGCAAGTGCTGGATACACATGAATGTGCAACAGATCCAAAATGCTACAATCCCAGGACCACATATGCAGCAGGTGCGACTTAAAACAGTAATCTTGTTGCCAGCTTGCAAGTGCTGGATACATGAATGTGCAGTAGGCACAATGTATAGCGGGAATGCCTACTCCTTCAATCATTTACAGTGTACACATTGCACCTCAAGTTTCAAGGAAATTTCACGGTAAAAGGTGCGACCAGTGAGTTAAACCAGCTTCAATTGAAGTGGTTATTGCAACTCTGGAAAATACAGCATATACATGTACATGTGATAACTACGAGGTAGAAAGGCAAAGGCACAACAAACATATCAACTACACCTAGGACAGCTCTTTTCTCCAAGGAAAAAAGAAGAGCTGCCCTAGGTGGGATTTGAACCCACGGCACTCTGCAGTCTAGGCGAGCATACATACGTAAGACAGTGAATTAAAGAAGGGGCTAAGGGGGGAAAAGGAAGGGCTTCTCCTTCTGCTTTCTCAGTGGGTTTTGTTTATTCAACTGGAGTCTAGTGTATACAAAACACGTCGAGAGGAGCACTTTGCAAACAGAGCAGTCGACTGAAATGAAAACTCAGCAAAACGGCATTCACTTGCACTCCATACACGCCGCCGCTGGTACATACAGTGAGGGGAAATACGACAACGCAATTAGCAGATGCCTTTCCGTAACTCGGGCAACGAAAATTCCCAGTGAAACCGGAGATCATTAGCAGTGCTGTTTGTCACAGAGCTGGTGTCAGACTCCAGAGTGTACCAGGGGGACATCGTCCCTCTATCTCTTCATTTGTCCCCTGAATATGCTTCCCAGGGGACACTTTGACCCTCAAAGACTAAGACGTGCTGTTATTGGGACCATCTAAATTTGTTGCTAGGTCCCACAGCAACAAAATCTCTAGAGCTGTTTCATTACATACTGGGGTGAAATATATTGTGTCAGAGTCCCTAAAATGTGCTCAAAAACAACTGTATAAACCAAACCTCACGGTATATCACTCCCTTAATTTTATGCAATCCCAGTATGAAATGTATAAGCGGTGTGAAATGCAAGCTATACACACATGGCATATGGGAAAATCATCAATACTACTCCATTTTCCACAAAAACAAACAATAATTCTCACCAAATAAGGATTACACTACCAAATCTTCGCCAAACATGTACCTGTACACATGTGTAAGTCTTACCAGCTTCAGTATATTCATTACGTGTATAGGTCTTACCAAGTCTTACCACTAACTCTAGGGTGATAGAGGTTTAATGCAGGTCTTACCAAGTCTAACACTAACTCTAGGGTGATAGAGGTTTAATGCAGGTCTTACCAAGTCTTAACACTAACTCTAGGGTGATAGAGGTTTAATGCAGGTCTTACCAAGTCTTAACACTAACTCTAGGGTGATAGAGGTTTAATGCAGGTCTTACCAAGTCTTAACACTAACTCTAGGGTGATAGAGGTTTAATGCAGGTCTTACACTAACTTTAGGGTCATGAGGTTTAATGCAGGTCTTACCACTAACTTTAGGGTGATCGAGGTTTAATGCAGGTCTTACCAAATCTTAACACTAACTTTAGGGTGATAGAGGTTTAATGCAGGTCTTACCAAGTCTTAACACTAACTCTAGGGTGATAGAGGTTTAATGCAGGTCTTACCAAGTCTTAACACTAACTCTAGGGTGATAGAGGTTTAATGCAGGTCTTACCAAGTCTTAACACTAACTCTAGGGTGATAGAGGTTTAATGCAGGTCTTACCAACTTCAACGAAGAGCTGTCCAACCGTGTCTCCATCATTGGAGAGCTCCATGTCTGACGAACGCTTGTCGTCATCTTCTTCATCTTCGTCCGACTCGCTACTATCTTGGTTGTCTCCCCACGCCTCAATCTGTCGTACACCTTCGTAGCTCCTCTTCTTCTTCCTCCCCCTCTCCCCCTCTCCCCCTTCCTTCTCCTCTTCCTCCCACAGTATAGTCCCAACATCTATGTTTAGTAGCACAGTGAAGATCACACAGTCAAGCACACTCCCATAAGGTCAATACTGTGTTTAGACGCAGCGGACTTCTCTTTAAGGAACCCCTGGCGAGTAAAATTATTCGACTGACAGGGTTTTAGTTTGCGACATGTAATAAAGATTGGTCTGATTTGAAGTATAATATGTTGGGGACCAATTAAAAACCTGGCCTGTTTAAAAGCTTTAAACCCGTCTGGACGGCTTTAACCCTTAGCAAGCCACGGGCATATGAATATGTCCAGAACCTCCATAAACCCTATATGGGGCTATAGTACTAGGTGTTAATATGTTACACATCAATATCTGTAAATTTCGCGCATGCGCGCGTCGTCCGCTAAGAGTTAAGGAGATGCCCATGGCATCCAAAGGGTTTTAAAACAAGCTTCTGGTTTATAATTGGTCCTCAACATAATACATATGCAGGCTACATACCCCTGTATAACAACATGCCGTGGTGTAATGGAATGCTCTCACTACCGTTGTGTAAACATCCTCTACTCTGGCACATTATATGAATATTGTGCTTCAGGTCTTCAGTGCTGAAAAGCTCCTTAACACACTAAAACAGTAATAACTTGCACGATGCGAAGAAAATCAAAATTTCACAAAGTCTTAAACAATATTCACTTTTGCAACATTCGACCTTTTTGAGGATATGTAGTATTTGTACTATATGTGCATCCTTTTGTTCAATGATTACTGAACTACCTATGTATGATAATACACATTTGATAGTATTCTTTTTGCATTCCAACGGGATTCCATCTTTACTAACCCCATTACACTCCATTACATAATGTGCTGTACCTTCCCTGCATCGATAGGCTTCATTGATTCGGAGAAGTTTTGTGAATATTGTGTTAGTATCGGGACGGGGCAGAGAATGTGTTAGTATCGGGACGGTGCAAAGAATGTGTTAGCATCGGGACGGTGCAGAGGGCAGAGAATGTGTTAGTAGGGGAACAGGGCAGAGAATGTGTTAGTATCGGAACAGGGCAAAGAATGTGTTAGTATCGGAACAGGGCAGAGAATGTGTTAGTAGGGGAACAGGGCAGAGAATGTGTTAGTATCGGAACAGGGCAGAGAATGTGTTAGTATTGGGACAGGCCTTAGTATCGGGACAGGGCAAAGAATGTGTTAGTATTGGGACAGGCCTTAATAGTATCGGGACAGGGCAGAGAATGTGTTAGTAGGGGAAAGGAGGGGGTTTACATATGTATGTCGGTGCTACTTCCCCTGCTTCTGACAGACAAAGAGAGGGAAAAGAGCTACGCAAACACACAAACACATACGTCGCCTATTTGACGCAATGTATGTATGTATACAAACACATCATCATTGCAAGCCATACACACAAACTGCAACCTTGAGAGTGTCCATGCATACGTACATATATGTCCATCAACGTACATTATAATATACATAGCATTCCATGCAAATACCCTACACACCCACCTATTGAAGGGGGAAACAAACCACCTCGGTTATAATCGGAGGGACTTCCTTGAGGTTACATCACATTCACTATTACCAAAGTTAGCAACATGCAACAACATTACCACCAGCCTGTGGTTCCATATTTGCCACGAGGCGCACAATAACGCGGCCAAAAATGGGGTGTATAAATCATATTCACTGATGCCATTAATTACGCCTTTCACTGTTTTGACACTGGCTTATATCACAGTATTACGTATGTCGACTAGAACAACTTTAGTCATAACATAAAAATCCACTTCCTCCAAATTGCTACATATATATTATAACCAAATGAAATGCGAAGAAGCACTGTCCACAAAGATTTAACTCACGCAAGTTGAAAGGACAACATATGAAAAGCACTACAGTGCAAACCCTCGGTGTACTGCGCATGCGCAGTACAGTTAATCGATGGGCTGGGCTATTAGTATGTGTTTACTCGTGGTCTCCATGCTAGTAGCTCGCGGAGAGTCTGACACGGGCTAGCTACGCTAGTAGATAGCATGCATGCGGGAGTCGATACATGCCATTCATTGTGACTTCTGAGCCCCCAAGGTACACAGAGCGAGCAGATCAGGTCGCAGTAAGCCCAGTGCGAATATGCATATTGGCTTTTTCGCTTGTTTTCACGGCATATCTCTCGAACGCAGTCGTTCCAGGAAAATCGCGTTTTAGCTCGTGTAGTTCTGAAGCCGCTGGTATCTCTAATAGGCCGCCTCGTAGCCTGTAGTGCCAGAATAAGCGTCGACACACAGACAGACAGACACACAGACAGTAAACCAACTACTGTAACCCTCGCTGCGCATGCACGCCGACCGAGGGTCAAAAACTGTGCAGCGTTTTCTACGGCTCAAATCAATAAGTAAGTGAGGAGAAGTGTTGTCTGGGTTACATTGTATACCCCCCCCTGAAAAACATTTTCTAAAAAACCCTGTTGTGATAAATGCACTACATATAGTTTCCTGAAAATATTTGAGCAAATGTCTCAACGTTGAAGGGAAAAAACGCAGAGACCTCAGTTTCCTCTTCATATCATTACGCAACCTCCGTAGCTGCTATGCAACATTCCACACTCAGTAACAAGAGAGCCATAATGTGGGGACCAAATACCAGAACACAATGGACGTACAGACATACATTATGCATACCGTGCTTTGATGACTTTCCTTTCCACTTGTGCTTCCGAACGGTTTCACCTGCGAAAAGGTGTGTGTAAGACACACTTCAGTTTAGTAGCTACTATTATACCTTTTTCTACTACCAATCTATGGCATTCGCTGGTGTACCTTTTTCTACTACCAATCTATGGCATTCGCTGGTGTACCTTTTTCTACTACCTATATGTATGGCATTCACTGGTGTACCTTTTTCTACTACCTATATGTATGGCATTCGCTGGTGTACCTTTTTCTACTACCTATATGTATGGCATTCGCTGGTGTACCTTTTTCTACTACCTATATGTATGGCATTCACTGGTGTACATATTATAATACCTTTTTCTACTACCTATATGTATGGCATTCACTGGTGTACATATTATAATACCTTTTTCTACTACCTATCGACACAATTCGCTGGTATATATATAAATTATACATTTCCTACTGGTATATATGTTTTCTATTACCTATCGATGGCATTCACTGGTATATATTTTCTATTACCTATCGATGGCTTTCACTGGTATATAAATACATATATTACATTTTCTACTACGTACCTATCGACGGCATTCGTTGTACTCTATGGTGCCTGACTGAGGCTGCTCATTCTAACCTTAGCGGTTCCAAGATGAAATAGACTAGGATGGGCTCGTGCAGATACAGTCACTGTGTGTTCGCTCCCGCTCGCCAAAAATGCCCGCATTCGCCTACTAGTACATTTTCTATCCTGGGTTGACCCAGTGATGACCCAGGTTGGACTCACTTTCTGTTCACGTGGCACGTGGTTTACGTGTTAATCTATGACAAATAGTACTCCTATATAACAATAAGCAGGAGTCTGCTACATGAACCAGCAGTGTCATGTTGTTGACAAAATAGGAGGCCTATACAGTAAGTAGGAGAGCGGAGAGTTCAAAATGTTTTTTTTGCCAGTTTGGCGCCCCATATATTTCTTACAGTATGCCTACAATTGCGAAACTGGGTTGAACCCTGCAACTTAACCCGCATTAATGTACATATTGGCTCTTGGAGAGTTATGGCCTGAGTCCCTTTGGACGCCTTGGGGATCTGCTTAAATAAGCAGAAATTGATGTATAAAGTATTAGTGACCATAAGATAAGTATGCCAAGTATGTGGTGTCTGTATAAACGGTTTACACAACCACTTACAGGGCTCAGGTGAACAGAATATCATTTATAGTACGCCCTATTGCCACAACTCTTGCCACAACTCTTGCCACAACTCGGCTGCAAATGAAGCCAACTGTTGTCATGAATGTTCCTTAGACAACTTATGGCGTATATAGTTTGTTGCAAGTGCTGGATACATGAATGTGCAGTAGGCACAATGTATAGCTGCAATGCAAAACCACTTCCACTATCAAGTGCAATGGTCCACTCTACTTCCAACCCTCACCGCACTTCAAGTGAATGGGGGTGATAGTGGCACAAAACAAAAGGACCCAGAAAAATAATTCACTGCACATATTATCCTTGTTACTTCATATAAGACTAAGTTTTGAGTCACGAAATTTGTTGTCGGTTACCCAATGCCGTAAGAAAAACAGGTTATGAACATGGATTACGAGCTAAGAACAATGAAAATGCTGACCAGCAGATTTCATGGCATGACTCAAAACTTAGTCTTACATAGAAGAACCAACTCTTGACCTTAACAATACTCATGTAGCATGCTCATGTAGCTTTTCCTTGTCAAAGACATTACAACTATAGCATAATCACTAACTCATATTACATACATCCTCTTTTCGTGATTTGAATCTGCATACCAATCCAAATACCCAATGTTGAAGTGGAAAATCACGGCAGAACTAGGAATGGAATTTATAACCTCGTGCTTCTGAACACACAGTGGACGAAAGGGGTAGCCCAAGTGTAAATTTGCACGACCTCATGTTGAAAATATTTTTGCCATTGTATGTACATGTAGGTCCGCATGCATGTTACGTGTATTACAGCATGCTGCACCATATATAGCTGAAGGCAAATTCTACACTAGCATCTGTGTGTGATTAGCGTGTTGACAAAAGAAACATAAACCGTACGGTTATTTTTGTAATTCCTCGTTGAATAATAGGCATAGTACTAACTCTAGCCTTCAAACTGTTTAAATGACATAATACCTGCTTCACCTGTAAAGGTTGGATTGCTAGGTATGAAGGTATTGTCCCGTTCTCAAAATAGACTGAGTAATTGTGGTCCGCTCCCCAGGTGCATACTTGTCATCAATGAATTCCACAGTCGTAACTATTGCAGGGACGACGTATCCGTTGAAAGAAAAGTGTACGTTTGCTACCAAATGCGACTGCAAGCCTGAATGGGCTATTATAGTAACTCTGTGTGTACGACACAGGGCATACACACACGCCACACTCACGCACACACACACACTCACACTCACACTCACACACACTCACACACTCACACTCACACTCACACTCACACTCACACTCACACTCACACAGACACACTCACACTCACACTCACACGCACACAAACATGACAACACAATTTGACACGGACATTTACTACGGGCAACATGTTACATGACAATCGGTGATGACAAGCGAAGCTACGTAGATAATTATATTAGCGAATAGGAATGTAGTATGCATGCACGTTACCGTGGAGATTTCCATGTGTACAAACAAACCCAACAAAAGACATGTATATCATGTTCCACGGAGGGGGATTTGTCCTTAATTGAGGGGTTTCCCCAGGGAAGCACGCGGCACGACAAACAAACAGGTCAGCAGTTCATTCACACGTGTTAATAATGTGTGTATTTGTTGAGGTGTGAGTGTATTTGTTATTGTATTTAGATCAGAGAATGGGATCACATTACCACCAGTTAGCACTCAAAATACCTATATACTGGGGGGGGGGGGGTAGGGGACTTTCTAAAATCATACACACACACACACACCCAGGACGCAAACCTTTACACTATACATACACTTTGCAGATTCAGCTGTTCATATGAACAAGGGATTTGCTGGTTGATCACAGAACGGCCAGTGTAAATAGGCTATCAAATTACCACCAGCACTCAAATATAATGCGAGCGGGACTTACGTATCAAAAATCTCATTGTCCATGTGTTCACGCACACACTCTATACCATTGATGCTGAGTGTAATATTAATGAAGCATGTTGAGCAAAGCGAGCCTACTTACTGTTTTGAATAGCGCCATTATCCATGTCATATACCGTAATCTCGTAAACCACTGTAATTTCGTGCATGCGTTCACACACCCTCTACCAGGCATTCGCGTGTACACATTGTACTTCTATTCTAGATTGATGCTGAGTATAATACTGATGAAGGATAAGCGAGCCTAGTTAGTCTTTTGAATTGCCATTTCATACCGTAGTCTTACACGTATGCAACCTGTAAAACAACTGTAATTGTGCGAACACTCGCATGTCTGCTAGCCAAAAATGTATTAGTTTTTGTTTTACATAGTAGGAACTGTAGCTATAACTACTATAGGACTACAGTACAGCTAGTATGTAGCATCATAGTGTGGGTATGTGTACATATGTATGAAAAGTATACCTTCTCCGGTTGTAGGGGTAGCAACGGTACTGGACCTGTTCAGATGATACTTTTTTCTTGGGGTTGCATTCACACCCTTTCCCTCCTCTCCCTCCTCCCCCTCCTCCCCTTCCTCCCTCCCCCCTGTCCCCTGGTCCCCCTCCCCCTGGCCGTGGAGGGCACCCCCCACTGTGTCTGGGTGCGTGTGTGGCGAGACTGTCTCTTCCTCTACCAGCTCTACTCCTGATCTCTTGCTCCTCTTTCTGCAGTCAAAAAAACATACATACAGTAGGCTGATTTTGTCTGGTCGTATTGTGAAACTCTTTCCTGCTTCCTTCAAGTCTACCGTGTAGTATGCTACATGAAACATACGTGATTTCTTTTTTGAGTAGGGCGAATTGCTAACATATCGTCTCTTGAGCGCGTTGGTTATTTCGGTCTGTTTCATTCCTGTTATTGCACTTTGGTCTCCATACGTGCAAAGACAGTGAGACATTTATTTATTTATTTCCTACCATGTACCACAATACTACTTGTCCTTCTTTCTTGCCTACCATGTATCGTGCTATACACGTACGTGATTTCTTTATTTCTCATTTTCGTTCCTTCTCCTGCTTATACACGTGATTGCGCAATACACTTACTACTGCTACAACCACAGGCACGACATAAAAAATGGCCTAAACGACATAAGCACCACCGCCCCAGTTCTCAAGGCTGGGCACCTGGTGTCCTGCCGGTTGTGTGCAACTGTGTGGTTTGTGTCTGTGTGTGGGTGGAGGATGGGGGTTGGAGGGTGACTTCTGGTTTTCTTTCTTTCTTTTCTATTCTCTGTGGCTAGTATGCTATAAATATACTTTTCATGGTACTACACGTGGTAGTATTATACACAGGTTACAGGTTATGCAGTAACCTAACTGCCATTGCTACTAGCTGAAAGTTAATGATCGGTTTGATAGGATCTGACCTCATTTCAAGTTACAGTACTGTATATACACGGAGATAGCATGGAAGTTGGTTATTGATTCTAATATGACTTTACTTCCTTGCATAGTTCCTTGCATTGGAGGTTAGGTATTCCTATGGCTGCTTCATATGATATAGTGTTCATATGGACACAGAGTACCATGGAAGAAGGTCGAAAGGGAAGGAGGGAGTGAAGATTGAGAGAGGGAGGGAAGAGAAGAAGGGAGAGGAGGGAGTGAGGGAGAGAGGGAGGGAGAGAGGGAGGGGGGAGAACGAGGAAGGAGACAAGGAGGGAGGGAGGGAGAGAGAAATGAGAGAGAGAAGGAAGGGATTGAAGAAGAGAAGGAGGGGGAAATGAGAAGGAGAGAAGCAGTAGGGACGGAGGGAGAGTGGGAGGGAAGAAAATGAGGAAGGAAAGAGAGAGAACGAAGATGGAGGGAGGGGAGGGAGGGAGAGTAGAGAGAAGGAAAGGATTGAAGAAGAGAAGGAGGGAGAAATGAGAAGGAGAGAGGCGGAATGGATGGATGGAGGGAGGGAAGGAGTGAGAACGAGGGGGAGAGGGAGGAGGAAGAAAGGGAGGGGGGAGAGAGGCAAAAGAAACAGTGCTGAAAATTTTCGCCTGCTAAATGCGAGGCTTCTATAGAACCCAGTGTTCAAGATCTCTTGCCTTTGTCTGTCCATCACAAATGAGATACTTGTCACAGATCCTGTGGCGGACTTGTCCAGAAGGATTTCCCTTGACCCCAGCTGTTTAGCCAAGGACATCCTCTTCTTACCTACACACACCACATGGAAACGAGTGTCACGGTCGGGCTTTCTCAATTGTGTTATAAAAAATCCCCTAACCGCGCAATAGTCCGAGTGTGAATAAGACCAGAAAGGGAATGCAACACAAGTCAATTATAATTTCCTGATGATTACATTTGCCTTTTTACCATAAGGAAACACATACTGAAAGTATCAGTGTAGCAATCATTAGGAACATGATATATAGGTAAACTATATAGTGGGACATTACTAGCACGTGCATCCACTGCGGTCGAACGATAACAATAATTAAACCAGCCCCCGCATTGTTAAAATAACTGACTTTATACGGGAACTGGAAGGGAATCAAAACAAGAGGGGAAAATGCTACTTTCCCCATACCCAATATGCAATATTCACCAAATGTACAATGGATAAAATATACTGATCTGTAGTAATCGTTCGAGCACAATTATACTGCATGTTGAGGTGAAATGGTGAAGAGTGAGTGACCTGGGTATAAAGAGAGTTTACGTCCATATTTTACACCCTCCCCCTTGCTCCCTGAAGTATGCTAAGCAAAGTACGAAGGTGTGCAGCAGAGCACGTCAGCCATTGTGCATGTGTGGCAAGTGGTCAGTTGCCCCTTCTCCTCCTCCTTCAACTGTTTATTACAGGCTAAAACCCTAACACATAGCGCATGGTTCACACTACGACGACAGGGACTTTAGTTTTGTCTAGTTTCGTCAGCTTGTAGCTACTGTCGTGTCGTCAATTTGTGGAGAGTGCAACGAGGCAAAACGATACAACTGAAGTCGGAGATGAAACTAAACGAAAGTCTAGTGTCGCATCGTGAACCAGGCTGAGCGGAACTACACACAAGTGAACGAAGGGGCTACCAGGCTTCTGCTGGAGAGATGTGGTTTGAAGGGACCAACTAACTGGCAAGCACAGCGAGATTACACCGCGGTCGACCAATATTGCGATGCCACGCACTGCTACACACCAATGAATCCTTGCACTCACATTCACTTGTCAATGCGCATTGCGTAGGGTTTGTATCATAGTGGATTAACTAGTGGTTGACATTGAAGGTTAAGTCATAGGTCAAGGCTCTACTACTGTTACTCATTGGGAATGTGGAAGCACTGTACGTAATACTACATATGAATGTGGAAGTAAGATACTTAATAGTGTTTCAATATGGTTACATCACCATTATTGATTAAAACACCAGGTTTCAGCTTACCTGAGCTGTTAGGCTTCAATTTTTCGTCCCGAAAATATAGCTCCGCGAATATCGCATTTTCCACATCTGAATCAACATCACTTGCATCACCTGAATCACTGTTCACATGGGGGGTGGGGATGGGGAGGGGGAGGAGAGAGAGGTGGGGAGGGGGAGGAGGAGAGAGAGGTGGGGAGCGGGAGGAGAGAGAGGTGGGGAGAGGGAGGAGGAGAGAGAGGTGGGGAGGGGAGGAGAGAGAGGTGGGGAGCGGGAGGAGAGAGAGGTGGGGAGAGGGAGGAGGAGAGAGAGGTGGGGAGGGGAGGAGGAGAGAGGTGGGGAGGGGGAGGAGAGAGAGGTGGGGAGGGGGAGGGTGAGAGGTGAAGAGGAGTGGAGAGAGTGGGAGAGCAAAAGAGGGGGAGTGGGAGGGAAGAGAAAGGGGAGGGGACATTTAATGTACAGATCATGGTGTTATCTGAATGTTACGCAGTGGTGTGTTTCAAAACCAGAGGATGGGAAATTCGGCCATTTTCCCTGACACACAAAAGTGCCTCGATGTGGTAATCCAGCATCCGGCATTCCTCCGACACGTGAAAGGCTTCATCCGACACAAACAAACACGACAACAATTTGTCCCCCGCCAAAACCCCCGCCCTCGGCTTCAATGTCACACATTGAAAGATCTGATCTACAGAAACCACTGTAAGGGGAGCGATCGTTACTGCTACGTCCCATCCCCCACTAACGATAAACTTCCCCGACCTCACACTTTAGACAAGAGAGCTATGTATGTAATCCCGTGCCCAGCTGCCCCACCCACAAGGGTAATTGGCGTCTTGGGCAATTATTGAAGTCCCGCAAATGCTCTTTACAAACCATCTGCACGATCACTTGCTTTAGCCCACTCAGCAGAAATGGGAGCATACCATCACAGACTGACTAGAGTTTAACTAACTAACCGTAGTTCGTCTGTTATAGTGTGTTCCAATTTCGGTCCAACTATAACCTTGCTGGGTCTACTATGCTATATCTCTTGGTGTACATACGGATGATAATACAGATTTGACTCTCAAACTGCAAAAACACTGGCAGAAGAGTGGTTGGAAGAATACATTTTGGCCCCAGCATATTATACCTACCCCTGGGCTGACATTATTTTTCAGAGGTTACAATTGGCCGTTAAGAGCAAGGAATGCTTGAATAGTTACCAGACGTTTCATCCCCTGGTTTTGGTGAAGTGGCTGGGTACAAGCTATAGACAAGGTTGAGAGCCAGGGAAAAGATCACATGACGGGGGTTTACACTAAAACCCATGTTTCTTGTTCATCCACCAATACCATAGTCTCATACCCAGACCCCGCCCCCAGGAGAGGAAAATTAGGTAAACTTGTATACAGTGGAACCTCTAATAAGGGACCCACAAGGTGTTTTCTTGGTTGTGCTGACTCATCAATTTTATCGAGTGCACGTATACGTACAGAAAGGTCCGTTATTGTCCATGGACATGCGGAGATCACAGAGCTGTGTTACGATCGATTACATAACATCATGTGATCTATTACCACGGTGGCAGATAGGTGGGCAATCTGATTCGTGTCTCAAAAAAGTAAGACTGTTGAGTCAGCAAAACGAATAAATCACTCAGCTCCTTTTCCTCTCCTAGACTACCGGTACCCAACACACCAGATAATACTGCTGTATATACATAGCTCTGTGGCACCACGGCGCCCACACATGTACACATGACAAAGGCCTAAGAAGGCTTGGGACAGGGTGAAGTGCCGTGATGATATTTTGGGCCTTCCCACACACACAAACAGCTACTACGCGAGTGTGAAGCTTCAAGCCCTCTTTTAGTGGTGGTATAAGGAGTAGCCCTCTTCGAAAAGGGCAGGTTGACAACCCAATACCAGGAGAGCACGCTGGGACGCGGACGCATCTCTATCGAGTGGACTTGGGCCAGCCTCTCCTCTCTGTAAAAAAACGGTGCCTAGGCTACAAAGCTTACCTTTCGCCCGAGCCGTCAGAGTCTCGAGCCAAAAAGCCGTCAAAGTTGAAGTCGCTCTCCTGAGACAGGCCGCTGAAGTCCTCGCCCCCTTCCATGGACGCACAAAACTACACGCCACACATGCACAAGAGACAGGGATGCCACACTTGTCACTCCGATCTACGCGCACCCACGGTGCAATATCGGGTCACCCCGAAATCCGAGCAATGTCTACCTGCGTCGGCAAAAACTATTGTACAGGCAGCCAGAGAAGCTTCTGGAGAGTGTGAAAACGCGGTGCCAATGCTAGCATAGACCACATGCAGAAACCGAGAGGGTCCCTAGGAGCCATGTTGGCAAACTTAGCAGAGCTTCAGCAATTAGTTAGCTAGTTGGTTAGTTATAAAGAGCGAGAAAGTGGACGAGGCATCCATCATCCCTAGCTAGACATAGCCAAAAGAAAATCACTGAGCAACAGCAGAAAGAACATGGCAGCCTTCTTGAGACAGAAGATGCACTATTTTGGAGTCTTGCTATGCAGCTTCCTACTAATTTTTGCCTTTACCACTTCGGTGGAGGCAAGGCCAACTGCAGTGCAGCCAGGCGGAAAATCATCCGCTGATTTTGCACTGCTTGAACACGCTCTCCGACAGGTATTGCGAGAAATAGCTTGTCAGGAGTTGACCGCCGGCGAATTGGAGACCCAGTTTCGCAGTCGCAACAGCAGCATCACCAGGGACGTGAAGGCGATGTTGAAAAGCATAGACGTTCCCGCTCAAGCAGATGCCGCCGACGGAGTCGCTTGCAAGCGCTGTGCCACTGCTGACGCGCCGTCCTCTGCAGGACAACTGCACTTTCTCGATTTTCGCCGGAGTGTAAGCGACCGGGACTGTTTTGCCGGCGCACTCCCGCGTCTGAGGCTGATAGAGAGTGCTGTGCCCGTGTTTCCCGCCCACTACATGGACTGGGAGTGCGGAGACGGGTGCAGGGGCAACTACACGGACGTCGCCAACTACGAACTACTGCAGAAGACGGGGACGTGCTGCGACGGAACAGCAGACTGGACCCCCGTCGAGGCTGCACACACCTATCCCCTAAAGGTGTCGAGAAGCTGCTTCGCTAACAGAAATGCTTGACTTTCGCCCTTCTAGTAACAAAAGCGCATATATTTATTTATTTATTTATTTATTTATTTCTTTGGAACTCAATCTATTCATGTTTTTCTCCATGAACAAAATCTGCGCTCGCGCGTGTACGTCGATCTGAGAGGGAAAGACCGCTAAGCCCGCTTTTATAGAGCGCGCGCGGCAACCACACGCAACTTCCTCGACAGCTTGATACAAATCGGAAGTGAAAGACTTTTGGTAAACATTGTGCAACAAACACAATTGAATGCATCCACCGAACCTCAATATAAAAGCTAGAGACTGGCATCACTTGGCATCACAGTTTGCTATAAACCACTCAACCAAAAAAAAACTGAAATCTAAAAACGATGGAAAATTACTTGCTGATAGCATTAGCAATAGCTGCACTGAGTGCATCTCTATTACGACCGACCCAAGCGATGCCTCTCTCGTGGAGCAGATCATCAAGACACCGACGATCTCTGACGCCTGGATCCTCAGTCACGGAAGCACCAACGTTGAGCACGGAAGACGCGGGCAGAGTACACCAGACCCCGTTGGCCCCCGGCGATATCCCCACCGGCGGAGGAGCCGGCGACAATTCGACCAGCACCGGGGACCGGATCAGCCGCTGCATTGAAGAGTGCTACGACAAGCAACTGCCGAAGGCCATGATTGAAGAACTAAAGAGCACAGTGTTCAGAAGTTTTTTGAGTAGAGGCGTGCATCCGGGTTTCTTGATGTCACAATGGCTGGAGAATTACCACCAGTACAGATTCTGCAAAGACAGACCCGTCAACGACACCCAATGCGAAAGCAGAAACACGCAGGCTTTAGAAGACACTGTGAGTCTTATAAACCAAACAGCCATCGATACACTGGGATACACAGTACATTATGAGCCGCTGAGCTACCCGCGGTATTACGTCCAGGTAAACTGCACACTCACAGCACCAAGGTCAATGTTTTACCTAAAGTTCAAAGATTCAAACTGGGGCATAAAGGTCAGGACCGTTGATATCTGTATATAAGGATCAGTCATCTATAGAGTGTAATATACAACAACCAGATTTATCTATAAAGGCACCATCACTTTCTAAAAAATTTTTATTGTGAGATTATAAATTATAATGAGATTCATTTTTATATTTTTTTATCCATTTACAAGAACATGAATGTATAAAAATCATGAATATTATATAAATCAGCCTGAAGCGGTCACATTATTAGCTACAGGCACATTCTTCGGCCACCAAAATTATTATTATGAAGCTGCAGCGTTTTTAGAGCTGCAGGTTTCGAGAGTAAGGACCTCAGGGTGTGGCACGGTCGAAAACACACTCTCACACGTAAGGGAGCCAGGATACGTCTTATTGATTCCGATACACCCTTGACATATGGCAACACAGAAACAGCTCTCCATTCAGGGGTGGGCTCAGCAGTGCGAGTCGGTGGCCGTTGAGAAGATGTAATAAACACTTTCGGGTATCCATTCTTGTGAAGGGCAGAATGAACGTGATGTAGTTCGTGGGTTTTGTAGTGATCAGAAGAGGAATGAGTTGCTGCTCTAGAGGTAAGGGTACTGACAACAGCCCTCTTGTGGGATAAAGGGTGGTGGGAGGCAAAATTGAGGTACTGGTCAGTGTGTGTTGATTTCCTGAACACTGAAGTAGATAAAGAGCCGACCGGAGAACGTTCAATTTTGATGTCCAAGAGGGGAGGCAACCGTCATTCTCGATCTCCACAGTAAATTTGATGCTGTGTTCAATGCTATTCAGATGTTGGAGAAAATGCTGGACAATGCTCTTGGGAACGACAGTACATACATCATCCAGTTGGGTAGATGGTATCGTTTCTGGGACGAACAGACATTCGAGAGGTGAGATGTAGAGTAACAGACAGACACACGGACAGACCCAAGTACTGTAACCCTCTGATGCTCAATAGAAAACCTTTTTGCGATGGCATAAAATAGATACCTATAGCTACTTACACTACACAAAGAATACAGTCATACCTAGAAATTATCTGATGTCGGGAAAAAGACTACTATACTTATGTGACTGAATACATAGTATGTGGTATGGCGAGCCACCAATCCAGGGATGCCAGATTGGTTTGACCATAGAAAATTATTATACCGTGAGGTACGCTTCCTTCCCTGTCCATACAGCTAGTGATGTCATTGGTGAATTTTCCAACATTAGTCCAGTTGCCCATTAGAAACCATTTCATCCACCAATAATGCTAGTGAGTATAATATACAGTCCACATATTCCATGTGGAAAGCATAATTATGGTTCTGTATGCAAAACCCATCCCACAATCAGCAGGTATGTACGTGTACACCTCTCTTGCAGTTTCAATATGATGGACGCGTGCATGTCGTATCCCGCCACGCATTATTTGTGCAAGCAACTCCATAACGTTTACATCACTAAATCCATGAATACTTTACGCAATTGTTTTTTCAAAAATGCAATTGAGCGTTGTGCAAGTGTCTGACCTTCCTTAGCTACATATAGATAGAGTGACGATGAATCCAACTCAGTCCGTGCAGTTACTACTTAGGAGAATTTTCGGCAATGATGCTTCATCGGTTCGTTCCGCTCTGTTTGCTTGCGCTGTTTCTTAGCGCGGCATCTTTGCCGCACGCCGCCCACGACGAAGACGGGACACGCCCGGGAAAATTGAAACGGGGGGCTCTGGCAGTGGCGGCATCGTTAGGCAACGACGCAACGAACCCGTCAGTGTTCGGCTATGGATGCAGTTGTTACAGGACTGGGCCTCCGGAAGAAGACATCATGTGGCTGAAGAAACTCGTAGTTGATGAACCGCACCCAATGCTAATGCTCTCTGAGCTGGCAGAGAACATTCACCGGAGCCTCGTCTGTAAACGCTGCCCGGATTCCATCAACCAGCAGGGAGAGGACGACACGGTCAAAGAGGTCACCAGACGCATGCACATCTACCTGAACATCACCAGACAGCAGAACTCTGTAGATCCGTGCTTGCCAGTCTACAACATCAATTTCTACCCCAAGCGATACCCGCGTTACCTAGTGGAGGTGACTTGCCCACAGCCCACAGAGGAGCAGGCTAGCAGTAGCTGTTCTCGCTGCTCTGGCGGGTCAGGGATCATCTGCTTCTCCTACCTAGACAAGATGTCGTTCTTATCGAACGACCCGAATGACCCCCTGTGCCCTCATGCAACTTCTCAGTCGTGGAAAAGATGTCCCGATAAAATGGTTGGGGTGGGTTGCAGTTGCTTAGCAGAATAGTTTGGCAGAACCAAGTTAACAGATCATCATATAGAGAATGAGCATAAAAATCCAGTCTTCACATCACCAATATCTTCTATATCACTTAAAAGTGTTTATTTATTATTTATTATGAAAGTCGTAGTGTACAATTAAAAAACTACAGCTATATACACTTTCACCTTGAATCTAAAAATAGTAAAATAGTCATGTAATATAATATTATACTCTCTTAAAGGTTAGATCAGACATTCGTCAATCTGCTTTGCCAGAAAATTCAGATCAGCATCTCTGAGACATTTGACCAGCACAGTCCAAGAAGGCCCAGCGTCTGCTTCCAGCCACTTTTCAAAGATCGCCGCAGATGTTCTGGTGACATCATATCCATTGGAAATCTTGAAGCCATTCACTATTGTACCATCATCATCAGAAAGAAGGAAAGTTCCAATAGCACTGAATTTCGAAGCAACCTGTTGAATCACATTGATCTTCTTGGCTTTGCCTGAAAATGCACGCAGCTGGGATAGTGTGGGCTTCCCACCTACAAAATAAATTTAGTATCACAATAGTCCAAGATAATAAATGTCACCTCTTTCATAGAGTTTTCCCTCAAACTCTGCCCAACTGTTTCCATCTGCCAGGAGCCCCTTATGAAGTTTCTCCCAATCTGCTTCAGAAGGCTCCTCTGAAAAATATATTTATGTGAACAGTTGTTCTATCATAGCTATAACGTTAAAACAATACTTGTTTTTAGCTCCTCTAGTTGTTCCACATAGACGGTCTCCATCTTGGGCAGCTCGAACTCTGCGATTGCGTCGCAAATGGTGTCAAAGTAATTCGACATTCGATCGCTTGAGACAGTTTGGGTCTCCTTGTAACTCAGCACTTCTTTCCGGGTCCTGATCAGGACGTCGAGAGCACGCCAGACCTTTTTGTAGCGCGGTACCAGGTCGTAGTTGGAGTACTTGATCACCTTCAGAAGGAGATTCATCGGCCACTCACTCGGGTCTTTCGCGACTTTAATTTTTTCGATTCCGGTTGGTGGTACCCGAGACAGACACCTGCTTTGGTTGGCCTTCCACCAACCAGCAGTGTGGTCGTAGCCTGCACGGGCTTTTCGTGCATGGTTTTATTGAGGAAGTCCCCGAGTGCCGGACGGACCACGGCGGAAAACAACTCTGCGAGACGGTAGTAGTTCAGACTGTGCACGAGAGGAATGTGGGTGGTTCGGCATACAACCAATGAATATGTTCAGACCAAAACCTAACCTTTCTTCCTCCATCTTCACCGGAGTCAAGCGCGTTCCTTCAGTTCGTTTCAGTCGCTAACGACAGCGGACAACCACGTCCTCCTGCAAACAGAACATGGAGCGAATGACTGCCGTGTGAAAAGTGGCTAGCAGATGGACCTATGTGTAGCTACCTGCGAATGCCGATATAGTCCACTCTCATGCTAGCAAAATGGAAGAGGGATGAAGATCCCAGATGTAAACTTTATGCTGTTATGTAAATTGACTCGGCCGCCGCCGCTACTTTCGGCTGACCAACAAGCGTTCGCAGCTCGCCACCAAAAAGAAGTAGGTGTTTGTTACGTATAGAACGAAGTGGAAAAGCATACCTGCAAGTTTGCAACGGAGTGTTGAACGTTCGGTGGCGCCCTGAATCCAGGTATATACTCCTTTATCGTACGAAAATCGCTAATTATTTCGTATACCAAAGCGGATATCTCCGTAATCTATTACTAAAACTGCGATCCCGGACGGGGTGGGGCTCGGCGGCGAAGAAGGAAAATGGCGACGCAGGCGAAGGAGGTGTTTCTGAGCTACGGAAGAGAGCCTGAAGTGTCTGTCTTCGTGAAGCGACTCCAAGACGACCTGGAGACGCGCGGCATCAGCGTCTGGCTGGACATAGACGACATTCCAGCTGGCTCTGATTGGCACGGAGCCATCGGTATTTCTAGCTAGTCTCATAACTAGCTACTAGCTGGCTAGTTGTTTAGCTGAGCATGTTGTCGGACTGTCCCGTTTTTGGCTCATTATACAGAAACACTCTCTGGCTGCTTGTTTGTCTGTAGGTTGGCGGAAAATTCCGTAGCTGTAGTAGTGCGTTTGAATGCTGCAGGAACTGGTCTGCAGCAGAGCAAGGCACTTATCGCAGTCATAACAACCAAATACCTCAACTCCAAGTTCTGCACCAACGAACTGTATGCAGCAAGCAGCGACCAGAAGGACCTGTTCCCTGTCATTATGGAGAATATTGACTTCAATGCCAGTGACAGGGCCCGGGGAGTCAAGTATGCCATTGGAAGCATCAACTGGACCTACTTTGGGAGTGGCTACGATTACGGGACGGCACTTGAGCGTCTTGTGCAGGGAATGAAAAGAAGTGGCTTAGGTATATATACACACTACTGCACTATTAGATGAAGACAGGTACAGTAGTACATATAGTCACACCTCTTTACTCCCTCTTCCTCCTTCACCTAACTGAGAGGGTGAAGATTGTGACCGTTCTATTATAGCTATCTCCTCTATGTAATTCACCAGAGGTGTCTGTATATACATTACATGGCAAGTTCTTCCTCCTCCCCTCCCATTCCTCTCTTTACCCTCCCTCCCATTCCTCTCTTTACCCTCCCTCTCACAGTATACACATTCTCCCCCAGACATTATTAATGCTCTCGTCATTTGATAAAGAAGCTGTCTCATGGTCTCTTGACGTCACAAAGTCACTATATAGTAGTTTGTGCACAGTTAATGAGTGTTTTGTGCATACATAGTTATGATGTGCATAGTTTATGAGTGTGATGACATACTGTATTATAGTATTTCTCTTGCATCCTGTATATTATTATACTCTCTATTATACACCTACATAGGCGGTGGTGCTACTGATGTAGAAGATTCTCCTGTCACCAATCTAAGTAAGCTTTTGAACAGTATTAAAGGCATTGTGAAGGTCAAACGACTACAATATGTATATACACCCACTGCTATAAGCTGTCTGTTGTACAGTAGATAGTACCAGTATAGCAGCATACATATGCGCCACGTTGCACTTTGTGTTTGTTTTTAGTTTCACGACCGCTTGCAATGGGAGAGGGTTGTTCGCATAATGAAATGGAAATAGACTTTCAGTTCTCCATTGCCTCACTGTGATATACAGTACAGGAGGTAGGCCGTGGAATGCTCCCTACCAGTCAGCCCCGTCCGTCCTTCACACATTCCTCTGACTGTCCCTTAACTGAATCTGTTTTTCCCGCAATTCTTGGACAGCCCGGCAAAGGATGCGTGTATGCATCGGTCTGTGTACCTTGCGGTGTGTGTATTGCCTTTGGTATGTACACAAGTCTCGCAATGGAAACTGGCATGCAAACTAACCCGCCCTCCTCTCTCCACACATCTTTTCCCCTCATTCCTTCTCTCCCCTCTCCACCCACCTCCCCCTCTCTTCTCTCCCATCTGCCACTTTTCCCTCCCTCCTCCCTCCTCTTTCCACACATCTTTCCCCTCATTCCTTCTCTCCCCTCTCCACCCATCTCCAACTCTCATCTCTCCCATTTCAACCCATTTGTCCCTTCTCCCTCTCTTCCCTCTCTCCTTCTATCTCCCTCCCCACTCTTCAACTTCCCCTCCCCCCCCTTCCCCCTCTTCTCCACACATCTTTCCTCTTACATTCCTTCTCTCCCCTCTCCACCCATTTCCCACTCATCTCTCCCATTTCAACTCATCTGCCCCTTCTCCCTCTCTTCCCCTCACTCCTTCTATCTTCCCTCTCTTCTTCTACAACTCCCCCCTCCCCCCTCTCAGTGGGTGACCTGCATATCTCCCCACATATCACTGGAGCCTATCCTACCCCGAGTGCCCCTCCCCCTCCTCTCCAGGCCGGTTTCTCTGCCATGTCGTCCCCCTCGTCCTATCCCACTCCTCCCCCGGCGTACTTCACCACCCCTGCCCCTCATACCTACTACCATTACTCTTCCCCACAGGTATGTACGTACACAATTGTGTAGTAAATGCTAATAATGACAACCTACATGCGCTAATCAACACTCAACAATAATAATTATGCTGTGGTGAGATCTGGTATGGTAATGTATCCAGAGGTAAAGCACACAATTTCCTAATGTGATATATACCTGTAAAAGATTTTTGAGTGTGGAGAGCTTTGCAGATTGAATTGGTTTTCATTTGGGAGCACAAAAGGGACTGAATAAAGCATTTCCTACATCGAGGGGTACAGCAATCCTAGTGTATCCATTTTTACTTATGTTAATTGTTCCGTGATTCGCAGGGTCTGTTGCCAGGTTACGGGCCATCTCCGCCCACTGCTGCCCCCTACCCCTACTCGCCCCATACTCCACCCCACCCCACCGCTGCCTACTACCAATCTCCATACCCCAATTCTACCCCACCGCCTCCTCCTCCGTATACTCCGGAGTCGACTGACGGCACTGGAGTAGACCCAACTCTTGCCAAAACACCACTCTCTGGTAATGAGGGAGGGAGGGAGGGAGGGAGAGGAGGGAGGGGGAGGGAGGGAGGAAGGGAGGGAGGAGGGAAAGAGGGGGAGGCAAGGGAGAAAGCAATCGCACACTAATGCTTCTGTATTGCAAGTCAGCAGTTTTCTGGAAAATTTCGGAAATGTTGCATGCGTGTGTGGACGCGCACGATTGTGGTGAAATGTGAAAGTTAACCAGAAATCCACACAAACATGTCTGAATAAACAAAGAGAGACTGAAGTGTCATCATTTCTACGACACTCTCTGTATACCCTGTGTGTGCCTGTGTGTGAATGTATGTATGTACATGCACTGCACCCCTACAGCATAAATATACAGTACTCTGTCCGTATGTCGGGAAAGTTGCTGTTGCACAAATATTTTGCAAGTTACGGTAATAGCTACTTGAGTTACGTTCAATTCCCTTCATATTTTCGTACTCTGCAGCAAGTCGCGAATATCCGTCCCCCCATCTCACTCCTTCCCCACATGTGCCACGCCCACCTTCAGCTCATCAGCAGGTGACACTATTTGCCGTAAGCTCATACATGTCCACCTTAGACAGGCACACATCGTACATGTACACGAAAAGACACACAAACTTAAGACAATGTACAATGGGAATTCGCCTGTAAACCCTTAATGGCACTCAGTGTGTTTTTGCTAGAAAGAAAGGCTGGGGTGAGTTAGGGTGTCTGGGAGGTCTGTACATACACCCGATATTGACATATTGACTATAGTACACCTCCACCCATTGCTGTGGGTTCTTGGGTGTGTGGTCCATTGTACTACAGTGGAACCTCCGAACAAGGGATACTATGGGGCCAACAATTTTGTACCTTGTAGAGAGGTCGTCCCTATCTCGAGAGGCACTAAAGTGTGGGGGACATTTGGGGTTGAAATAAGTGTCCTTTGTAGAGAGGTCGTCCCTATCTCGGAGGGTCCCTTATCGCGTGTTCCACTGTACACATATTTACACGTTCACCAATTGCTCTGGGGGTGTGGTCGTACTATATAATATGGCTGGCTGCCTCATTCTCCTACAGAGTCCGTCATCGACATTGGCAGGCACTTTGTCCACAACTGGTCCGTTGTTCCAAGTTGGGATGAAACTCGAGGCCACCGACCGAAGGTTCCCTTACTTTGTGTGCGTGGCAACCATCATGGACAGGAGAGGTGAGTCGACCGTGACAAGACACTTTGATGAACAAATCTTCCATTTTCAGCTCACGTCATAAGACCTGTCAACTCAGAATTTTTCAGTTTTGAGTCTTACACATAATATGCATTTAGAATGAGGTTTTAAGCTCCGTCTGTATGTTAGTATGTTTTCCTTACTCCCTGAAACCTATAGCTGAAAACAGAAATGATTAGCAAATTTCAATGCTGGTATATACAGTGGAATAGGTTGTCAGTTCTGTATGTATATGTGTATCATGTACTAGAACGAATGCCACACATTTTTGGCAGTCGCGCTTGTTTTACGCGTACTTAGAATCACGCACACATTACGGTATGTGCGGTGCCCGTGCGGTGCCGATCACATTAACTAATTGTACCTATAGAAAATGAAGGTTATAGGCTCGCTTTGTTTGCCAATTAAGTCAGCACGTGTTTCTAGAATCGGAGGTTCTAATCCACTTTGACGGCTGGGGTCCGGAGTATGACTACTGGTGTAGTGCCTGGTCACTGGAACTCCACCCACCTGGATGGTGCCGCACCCACAACTGGGAGCTTCAGACACCTCTCCGTGAGTTGGAGGTGGGGAGGAGGGGAGGAGGAGAGGGGGGAGGGTAGGAGGGAATGTGGGGGGGACAAGGAGAGATGGAGGAAAGAGGGGAGATGAGGAACAGGAGGAAGAGGAGGAGGGGGGTGAGGGAGAAAAGAGGGGGAGGAGAGAGAGGGTGAAAAGAGGGGTGTGGGTGATAGGAAAGGGGGAGGAGGGAGAGAGTAGGAGAGGGGGTTTAACAAAAGAGCTTCACACTCTGTCGTGTGTGACCTCATTTCAGACCAACCGTGGACTTCATGGGAGGACTATCTCATGAGACTGACTCCCCAGCCACTCCCGACTCTCTTTTCAACCAGGTTTGCCCATCTGCTATCTGCTGTTCAAGTCTATGTATGTAAAAACAGCCATGGCTGTGCGAAAAATTTACTACGTTTTCAAAACGGTATATACCCAGTGGAATAAGGAACCTCCAAACAAGGGATGCTATGGGGCCAACAGTTTTGTTCACTAAAGCACAGTAATGCCTATAATATGTCTCAACAACTTGGTAGCGAGGTAGAAAGGCAAGGCAAGGCAAACAAGTCAACTACACCCAGGACAGCTCTTTCGAAGGAGAGTTGCCCTGGGTGGGATTCGAACCCCATATGTAAGTCTCAAAACCAGGCCCTGTGTTGTGTATCCGTGATCGTGGCCACATGCACATGATTATACGGTTTATCAGTATCATAGGAGTACATTATATACATTGCTGGAGCAAAGTAAGGCAGTCTTCATAATGTCCTAAACTCTAAAGTATGCAGTCCCAGTTTTGCACAGTGGTTTGAAGTTTGCCTAATTGTTGTTGTCGATTGAACCCCTACCAGCTGAGTTGCCCTGGCTCGCTCTTCTATTCAAAGAAGAGAAGAAGAGCTGCCCTGGGTGGGATTCGAACCCACGACACTCTGCAGTCTAGGCGAGCACTCTACCAACTAAGCTACCAGGGCAACTCAGCTGGTAGGGGTTCGAATCTACAACACACACAACGCAAGACGAGGCAAACCTCAAACCACTGTGCTATAGCACAGTAAACTCTCACTCAGTATGCATGTTACTAAAGTGACCATCTATACCTTGTTGATGAGTCTATGATGATGACACGTCTCATGCAGGACCAGCTGGCAGGGCCGGGGAGTCGTCTGTTCAGACCGGGCATGAAGCTGGAGGCCAAAGACAGACAGCACCCGGGCACAGTCTGCGTGGCCACCATCGCCAACGTGAAGGACGGGAAACTGTTGATTCGGTTTGACGGCTGGAGCAGCAGGTGTGTTACATCATAATGTAGCATCCTTACTAGACTCTGAACTAAATCATTACATAATCCATAATTTTCGCACGTGGAGATTTGGAGAGACTGAGATGGCATAGTCACGCACAAGGCTTTTAGCACCACACATAGATACTGTACACATGTGACATCTAACACATCATCTGGTATTACACGTCGTAAGTCATGAAATGGACCTGGTGCTGTATATAGCTGCCATATTGAGTACTAGAACGATCGAATGCAACACATTTTTGGTGAGCGAATGCGAGAGTCACAAGACCACAGCATAGACGATTGCGAAATATCCAATTTCGTCAATTAAGAGTTACATTACGTGTAGGTTACACTGTACGTAAATGGAAATAGATGGCCAAGGGGCTAGCTGGCTGTAAGATTATACTGCCATAGCTACCTAACCAAGACAAAAGGAATCAGCCTTCGATACCTTTTCACTACCTGTCTGTCTGTCATGTGTGTGTATACAATATGGATGTAATAACTGAAACGCATGCACAGTTGTTAGCTCACTTCCACTCACCAATTACACATGGTGTTCCATGTTATATAGGTATGACTACTGGTGTCGTCCAGAGTCGACTGATATCCACCCTCCTCACTGGTGCAGCAAGAACCATAGAGAACTCCACCCACCAAAAGGTATTGGTTTATTACCTCTCTCTCTCTCCAAACCAGTACATGCTCATGCATGATACGTACATACCTGACAATATTTACATAGTACTCTAATGTATATACCAGAAAACTTTTTAGACTGTGCATTCTGTTGCCATACATGGGAGAGAACAGTGTCATGGGTTCAATTCCCACTCACATAAACCTAATATGCAACGGGAATGTGGCAGTATATAAGTGCTAAATAAAACTAAAACGGAACTCAATTGCATTCTTTCACTGTGCCACTATTGTTTTGCTCTATCACTTCTAAGTGTATATACATAGCCTGTATATTATACTGCCACATTCCCTTTAACCTTGTGTTCATGATACATGGGTAAAGTGTTTTTTTTTCACAATGTCACTAGAGCACACAGCGTAATATGCAAATTGACAGTAACTTTTGTGGAATGATAATTCAAAAACAGAACAAGATATCAGATTGAATTTCCTTCTCCACGATATTATAATATGTCGTGGGATGTGGCTGGGAATCAATGTTGACGCTGCTCCCGTGTCACTATTGTGATCCAGGCTGAGCAACGAAGCACGTACATAGCTCACGGTACTCAGTATTATATGTCGTGGGATGTGGCTGGGAATCAATGTTGACGCTGCGCCCGTGTCACTATTGTGATCCAGGCTGAGCAAACGAAGCACGTACATAGCTCACGGTACTCAGTATTATATGTCGTGGGATGTGGCTGGGAATGGGAAAGATTTCCAGCAATGTTGACGCTGCGCCGTGTCACTCACGGGCTTGTATTGTAATCCAGGCTGAGCAAACGAAGCACGTACATAGCTCACGGTAGTATTATACTCTCTGTGCAGGTTACAGTGGAGCATTCAAATGGAGTGAGTACCTCCGTCAGCCTGGCCCCGTCCCTGCTCCAGCCTTCATCTTCACTGAGGTATAATATTATAACAGACTGTGTATAGCACCAGTACTACATACAGGTTGGCTCTTGCGGAAGTACACGTGCTAACCAATACAAACCGAACGGCGATATATGACACTCTTACACAATAACCTATATAGTTTAGCATCTGAACTGGCTAATCATGTCGTATAAGCAGCTGTATGCACATCCGTGGAGGATTGCGTAGGGTGGAGTTGAGTAGTAAAGCTGGTACCACCACCTATCTCTGAATAGTGGTTGTTTTTGGACGAGTAAGGTTGCAAATGTCGGGCACTGACTAGCGTTACGGACACCCCTGAATAAAGCACACTTTCTATGACCCCCTTATTTAGAGGTTTCGCGAGTGTATATAATCTAGTCCAGCACATCTTCCATATCTACACCAACAATTCTGTTTCCCTCCAATGAACTGTATGTACAGGAGCAGAGAGCAGTGCCGTCAGAATCAGCGACCTCCTCCTCCTCCTCCTCCTCCCCCAAGGGGTTCAATGTGGGGATGAGATTGGAGGCAAAGGATCGCCAGTACCCGACGTTGGTGTGCGTGGCAACCGTCGCGGCCGTGAGGGGCAGCAAACTACTCATCCACTTCGACAGGTGGCAGGCCAACTACGACTATCTCTGTGAGTCGGACTCGACCGACGTACACCCGGTCGGCTGGTGCAAGAAGAAAGGCCGGGACTTACAGAAACCAAACGGTCTGTGGCCTTGTTTTATGACAAAGTGTGTATATACAGTGGAACCTCCGATAAGGGACACTCCGAGATAAGGACAACCTCTCTACAAAGGACACTTGTTTCAAACCCATGCTAATACTTTAGTGTATTATATTACCTCTGAGATAGGGACGGCCTCTCTACAAGGGACAAACTTGTTGGCCCCATAGTGTCCCTTGTTCAGAGGTTCCATCTATTCAGTGTTTAGACTGCGGCAGGTTCAATTGACCAACTCTTATAATATGAGTCCAGGTGTGTGTACAGAATAAGGTGGTGCAATGAGAGCTAACAGTTACGTGAACCTCTCTGCAACGGACAAACTTGTTGGGCCCCTAGTGTCCCTTGTTCGGAAGTTCCACTGCAGTTAAACCTTTATATCATGTTCTACAAGTTTAACTGAACTTGCGTAGCATGCATGTTCTGTATACATGCAGGCTATGGTGGAAACTTCAAGTGGGATAAGTACCTGTCAGAAAACGGCTATGAGGCTGCCCCAGAAAATCTCTTCACAGAAGCACAGAGGAAATAAGTTATTCAGACAGAGCATTTGTTGTTGACAGACACAAATTAGCATTTTAACTCTTTATCCCATGGTGACAGTGTTTGTTGGTGAGTGTATGTATGTATGTATGATGAAAGTAATTCTGTTGAGTGATCAGCAGTTTCCATGTCTGTTACTCCAATTGAAACTTGGTGCAATCTTGTGTGCCCTCTTTCTTTTCCTGTCATCCTCCTTCTCTCCTCTCCTTTGCCCTCTCCCTCTCCACCCTCCTTCCTTGCTGCACTGGACTCCGCCACTGAAGCACCCTGTGCCCCTTCCCCTCCTCCCATCTCCCTCATCTGGCCCTCATTGCCACCAGCATCACTAGCAGTGGGTGTCCTGGGCGTAGGCAGCGGGTCCTCTCCAACCCCAACTCATCCTCCTCGATGATGTGAATCGAGGCACTCTCCTGAAAACGGACGCTCTTCTTCCTCTGCTGTTTGAGTCCATCCCGCGACTTCTTCTGTCCGGCAACCACTGTCTGTCGGTTGTGGAGATGCGACAATGTCCCGGCAGAGCCCTTCCCGTTCACGGCCCATTTGGAAGAGGGGGAGGAGTCCTCTGTCGTCTTGGCGCAATTGGGCAGGTAAGAGTGATGGAGTATGTCCTTCATCTCTTTCTGGTGCTGGGTGTGGCAGGTCTCCAACTTGTGCTGCAGGTCGTGCTGCCAGTGTTCCTGCTCGCGATGGATCCTCTCCCGCCAGGCCGTCACCTCGTGCTGCTTCTTCTCACGCCACAGTTTCTCGTGCTCGTCTGCCTGGTTCTTCAGCTCCTCCGCTTCCTGACACGTCTGCTCGTGCAACTGACTCATACGAGCTGAAAAAGTTTCACGGGAGAGCTTTCCTGAACTAGGGAGGCTTGTTATACAACATGCACATTGCTCTGGGTGCGTGGTCGATGGCTACAGTGGACCTCCGATAAGGGACCCTCCGAGATAGGGACGGCCTCTCTACAAAGGACTTTTGTATCAAACCCATGCTAGTATGACTTCCGAGATAGGGACGACCTCTCTACAAGGGACAAAATTGTTAGCCACATAGTGCCCCTTGTTCGGAGGTTCCACTGTTTGCAATCTCTGTATAAAGACAGTCATCAGTGACTCACCTTCTTTCTTTGCTCTGATAAGCTGAACGAGTTTCTCTCTCTGCAGCCTCTTTCTCTGCTTCTCTTTCTTTGCGTGGGCCTTTTTGTTCTCCTCCTCCTCTCGGGCCTTCTGTACGTGGTCGTCATATGCCTGCCACTTGCTCTCCAGCTGAAACAGAAAAGCAGCAGTTATAATAAATACTTCCATGTTTCAACCCCATGCTACAGTGGAACCTCCGAACAAGGGATACTATAGGGGCCAAAAAGTTTTGCCCCTTGTAGAGAGACTGTCCCTATCTCGGAGGTCGAGTATATAGTAGTATTAGCATGGGGTTGAAACAAGTGTCCTTTGTAGAGAGGCCGTCCCTATCTCGGAGGTCACTTAAGTATTAGCATGGGGTTGAAACAAGTGTCCTTTGTAGAGAGGCCGTCCCTATCTCGGAGGTCACTTAAGTATTAGCATGGGATTGAAACAAGTGTCCTTTGTAGAGAGGCCGTCCCTATCTCGGAGGTCACTTAAGTATTAGCATGGGGTTGAAACAAGTGTCCTTTGTAGAGTGTCACTTAGCACTGCAAGTCATGCAGAGACCTCCTTGATCTGTTGGAGTCTATGGTTCTGTCGACTGTGCCGTAGCTGCAGCATCCGTACCAGCACCTGGTTTGCACCGCTGCGCAACTGACGGCGCTTCTCAAGGGCCTCCTGCATGTGCAAAAAGACAGAGACCTTCAGACATAATAATAATATAGTACGATAAGTGGGACAGTCTAACACTAAATTGACCAGCAGTATAATATGACTGCGTATATATGTGCTGAGATTAACGAGTATCACGGTGACCTACAAAGCTGATACGGCCAGACGCGACACATGCACGCACGCACGCACGCACTACTGGAGCAGACAGCAGAGGTAACACATGCATGCAAGACCACATCATTCATACACCTTTGCTTCAGGAGGTATAGCGACTTACCTGGTGTTCCTGCTGCAGTTTGGAGAGGTGCCTCTGTTCCCGTTTGGCTTCTCGCCTGATTTCGTTCCTTTCTTGCATCAGCTTCTTCTCGTGTGCGGCCGTGAGTCTCTCCTGCCGCTCTCTCAGCTGGATCCGCCGCGTGTGCGCTGTCCGCTCGCCAGCTTCTTCTCCTGCTCCTCGAAAAACGTCTGCGTCTCTTCTCTCTCTCCTTGTCCATTTCACTTACAACCTTTTCCTCCACCACGGCTTCTTCCAGTGCCTTGCAAGTGCAGCATAGACATGATGATAAGAGCACTAGGACAGTTACAGTGGAACCTCCAAACAAGGGACACTATGGGGCCAACGATTTTGTCCCCGGTAGAGAGGTCCTCCCTATTTGAGAGGGTCCCTTGTCAGAGTTTCCACTGTTCACTGCTAATGATGGGGCAAGTAGCTGCATTTCTACCTGTTTCACCCTCTCGCGCTTCTCCTCTTGTTTCTTCCTCATCTTCATTGACTCGGACTCCATGAACTCGCGGTAAGCGTTGTACTCCTTCAGTGCGCAGACGACTTGCAGGTCGTCTGTGACGAATCCGCTCCTCTGCAGCTTGAGACACATGGACGGGCGGTGGAAGAAGGCCCGTGTGTGCGGATCGTGCAGCGGATTGTACTCTCTGAACGGCTCGTCTTCTATCGGACGGGACAAATCGAAGTCGTGCCCGACTGTAGATTTGAAGATCTGGGGAGACAGAGAGATATCAAGTGAACGATGGGGGGATCGGATAATGATGTTTACCGGTTTGGAGAGCTCGGTCGTGACAAGAGGTCCTCTAGAGTGCAGTTTTGGGAGTGGCGGAACCTTCGGAGCAGCGTTTCTGCTGCTGCTGCTTTGTTCACATCTCGATCCTCGCCGTTTTTCCTCCATCACCGACCCGTCCCGGGATCCTTCTCCGACGGTGACGACGCGACGCCAAAACAGACGCGTCGTCGCCGCGCAATGCTGCACGCGCATGCGTAGCAAGGTATATACGGCCCTTCGCCTTCGCTTTCGATGCCTCCAACAGAACACTAACTAGCTGCTTATTCATTTCCACAATGAGTTTATATTTATTTCCACAGTGATTCTATCTAGTAGGAGTCAAACAATTCACTCTTGCAAACGCCCATCTCGTCCATGCAAGAAGATGTATCCCCTCGAGTGTATATCAAGTGCACAGGCGAGGCTTAAAAGTTCAATTACTCACCCTCAATGAAGGAGTGCAATATTCACAAGTGCATAATTTAAAAATGTCTCCCTAAAAGTCACAGATGATATCAATCCCAAGGCTACACACATCAGTTTCTTCAAATTGATCTGCAGCAACCTTTTCCTCCCAAAGCGATGCACTGTCTCCCACTGCCACACTCGCTCCATCTTCTTCCTTGCTTAGCGGCTCCTTTGTTCTAAGCTGCTGGTACTTGCTCAGTTGAAACGCGAAATCGTCAGAATCGCCATCATCACCCAACTCGTTTCTCCATCCCTCGTTCAGTTCTCCGCTGTCCTCTGGGTTCACGGGGTCGTCGAGGTCAGTGTACTCCACCACCTCCTTTTTCTCTCCACCTCCGTTCCATGTTTTTGTCTGGCGGGTGTTCTCTCTCCTCTCCACTCACTGCAAGGTCTTGTCTGAAAATCTCCAGCTCTCTCTGTGCACCCTCGAGGACCCTCTCCTCCTCCTCCCTCCTCTTCTTTGCCCTGTCTTCTCTTGCCTTCTTCGCTCGCTTTGCTAACTTCTTCTTGTCCTCGGAGAAAATTTGTTTCCTCTCTCCCTCGGTGGTGTTGCTCTTTACGAGAGAGAAGAATACACCGCCAGGAGCACGCCTGGAGAGACAAGACGATACTTCGACCATGCACGTGAAGAATGATGTATGTCTCACTTTTTGTCACTGTCAGCACTGAGGAGCCCTCCCTTCTTCTGCGTCTCAGCTGTCTTTGTGAACAGTTCAATGCACCTCTCTGAGCCCAACACGTTCACCACACTCTTCACCAACATGTACTTGGACTGTAATAATTATACAGTGGTGTAAACCTCTGTACACTATGGGAGTCAAAACGGTTCAAACTTGCCTATGTACCTCGTGTAGACATCTCGCGAGCTCCTGGGCCAGTTTCTGAGGCGTCACGTGAGAGCTGTCTAGCTCCAGGGGGAGACAGAGGAGGGCATCCTGGCAATGAGCTGAGGACTGCTGTCGCTTTGCAGCAAACCTGCCGGGAAATGGTTATGAACGACAAAGACGTATCTAAAGTGCTGGGGTAGTACTGACCCGTCCGAGGATTGAGAGCACTCCATGGACTCATCGCTAGTCGCTGTAGCATCGCCCCGCGGCCTCTTACCCAGTGTAGTACTCCCTCCGTCTTCTGCTAGCTCCCTCACTTCGGGCGGAGCACCACTGGACAGAGCCGGAGGGTGGACCTCGTCGCCAGGAGCACTGGACTCAACAGACACGTCTCTCGGGGGATGAAACGATTCTCCGTCCATGACGCGCGACGACCAAAGCAAAGACATTGCGCATGCGCATCAGGGGCACAGGACACCCCGGGCCTCCATTGTGAGGCGGGTCCTCACGCACGAACCTGGACCTGCGTTGGTTCCGTCTAACTATGGCTGCTGCGTTGATGCTCTGCAAGCGCACGTCCATTCTCCTGTTTCGCCCTTCCGTTGGCCAGCGCTGCCTGTCCAACTCGCCCTCACTGCTGTCTTCCACCGCTATTAGAGCACCGATTAGCAGCGATAATGTGGTGAGTTGTCCGTTCGAAGCAGCGACCTACCCGGAGCTCAACCTCTACTCGCACGTCTTCAGAGACTTCTCCAAGTACGGCCCCCGAGTGGCCGTAGTGGACGGGGTGACTGGTAGGGAGTACACGTACAACGAGGTGGACGAGAACACGTCCAAGTTCTCTTCGGCCCTCAACCGCATGGGCTTCTCCAAAGGTAACGTCCTCTCCATCTGCTCTCCTAACGTCCCCGATTATTGCTCTGTGTTCTTCGGAGCTCTGGCCTCAGGCGGGACGGTGAGTACCGTCAATCCCACCTACACTGCACATGAGCTGGCCTACCAGTTCGAGAACTCGGCCACCGACGTGATTGCCACCGTCCCTGCTATTCTGCCCACCGTCCAGGAGGCTGCGGAGAAGGCCGGGGTGGAAAGAATCATTGTGGTTGGAAGTGAAGGGGAAGGTGGCCCGAGGGGCTCCAATCTGATTTCCTACAGTCATCTTCTGGAGGATAGTGGTTCTTCTCTTCAACCCGGTCTCTGTAGATGCCAAGCGCGACATAGCAGTTTTACCGTATTCTAGTGGGACTAGTGGTCTACCAAAAGGTGTAGTTTTGACGCACTACAACGTCGGTGCTAACATTCTCCAACTAGAGCATCCAGAACTGCAGTATTATTTTGAAGAGGGTACCACACTTCTTGGCGTGTTACCTTTCTTTCACATCTATGGGATGGTTGTAGTCCTCTTCTCGTCACTGTATGCAGGCAGCAAGGTTGTCTCCTTGCCAAGGTTTGAGCCCGAGCTCTTCCTCAATGCAATCTCCAAATATAAGACAGACATTGTCAACATAGTTCCTCCCCTCATCATTTTCCTTGCCAAGCATCCCATGGTGGATGACTACGACCTGTCTTGCATTAGGCAAATAACCTCGGGGGCTGCCCCACTGGGTGGGGATTTGGTTGAGGCTGCTCGAGCCAGATTAAAGTGTGATGTCATTAGGCAGGCATACGGACTCACAGAAACAAGTCCCGTGACACACATGGTTCCTGCCTCACTCAGCAAGGAGAAACCGCAGTCCATTGGAGTTCCGGTCAAAAGTACCGATGTAAAAGTGGTGGACCCTGAAACCAACGAGACCCGGTCGACCGGAGAAGAAGGAGAGATTTGGATCAGAGGTCCCAACGTCATGAAAGGCTACCTCAATCTCCCGGACGCCACCAGGAACTGCATCACTGACGATGGGTGGTTTCGTACCGGGGACATTGGCCACTTTGACGAGGACGGCTGGTTCTACATCACAGACCGACTCAAGGAGCTGATCAAGGTGAAGGGTCTGCAGGTGGCCCCGGCAGAGCTGGAAGCTCTCCTGGTGACCCACGAGAAGATCGCCGATGCGGCAGTCATCGGAGTGGCCAACGAGAGACTGGGAGAGGCTCCGAGAGCCTACGTCGTGAAGAAAAACTCTAGTCTCCGGGAGAGAGAGGTTGAGGAGTACGTCGCTGGGAGGGTGGCCAAACACAAGCATCTCGTAGGAGGGGTGGAGTTTGTTGATGCCATTCCGAAGTCTGCTTCTGGGAAGATTCTGCGCCGTTTGTTGAAACAGATTTAATATTTTGTATTGTTGGAAGAATGCATTTATACCAGTATAATAGGGCAACATTGGCCAATATCTGATGTACATTCTATAGCTGCTAATCGTGTCACATCAAATATTGTTTCAAACAACATTCATAGTTGATACACACAAAGCACAACACACTGGGTTTGATATATATATGACTGTAACAATCAGAACACAACACAATATGCATGTATAGTATAGATTACGACATAGTTCATGTTACAAAGTGTCACCGCTTTCTTTTCTTTACTTTCTTGCGGGTTCGTGATTCGAGCTTGCTAGTCTCACTTCGCAGTGTCAGTAAATCATCATCTTCCATCTCGCCAACTGTCCTGTTCATCTCTTCATGGAACTCTGTGTCACTGTCCCCACCCGCTGCATTATCGCCTCCCCCGCCACCCCTTCTTGGCCTCGGATCACTCATCCGAGGATTCTCAGACTTAAACTGCTCGTATTGTTTGTTTCCTCTAGCCAGGAGACTTTGAAACTCGTCAGTGGCCGTATCGATGAGGGTTAGTCCCATTCTCCAGCTCAAGTTGGTCTGGCGCTCGGCCATCTTCCTGTCGTACTTATCCAGGGTGTCGTGTATGTCGTCAGTAAGCCTGGTGAGAGAGGGGGCCTGCATCTCTTCGCACTTGTAACGCAAGGAACATAGTTCATCCACCATCACCGTATAACATTCGTCCAACTTTTCCTTGAAGCTCTTGTGAAGAGTGTAATTCCGGGAGTGAGTAGTGCCGCGCACGTGGGAGTCATAAGGCTCCATGACGTTGTCGGAGCTGTCTTCTTCTTCGTTCGCTTCTTTGCTCTCCTCAGCAGCATGCTTTGACATCAGAGCCATGCCACATATGTTGCAGAACTCTTCGGTGACTATGCTTGAGTCGATGAGATGGGGATCGACTTCAGGAAGATGAGGCGACACTGGCCTTCGGAGGGCCGACATCCCCAGAGCTTTGTCTTCTTCATCCATTTCTCCAAAGCCTTCTTCTTCTTCTTCTTCTTCTTCGTCTTTCAGAGTTTCTTCCGTCTCTGGTGGTTCACGTTCAGCAACAATTTCTTTCTCGTGCTCTTCCACTGGTACATGTTCTGGGAACAGCACGTTTCCTTCGTCCTGTGCTTCGGTTTGGACATATTTTTGGTGATAAATAGCTTCATTGAAAGCAGTCATTGTAGGCTGTGGAGCATCAGGGTTCTGAGACTGCTCTGTCATTGATGGCTGGAAGTTGGCGTCATAGACTTCAGAGAGAGGTACTGTTCGAATCTGGTGTGAGTTAGCTTCTCCGTTCTGAGGGGGAATTTCTTTTGTTGCTGGTGGTAGCACCGAAAGAGACTGTGTGGGTGGTGGAACATACGGTGAGCTTGGTGGCGGTGTCACACTAACACTCTCATTCAGCTGAGAGGCTAGCTCAATGTGCAAGGGGACGGCAGCAGTAGTATTAGAAAGCGGAGTGTCGTATGATGCATGGGGTGTGGTGTATTGACTTCCATAGTAAATGCTGGGTTCTGACAGGTTCTGTTGGGTGGCAAGGGGATCCCAGTCAAAGTTAGAGGGCATGGTGGAAGAGTATTGTGGTAGAGGACCATATGGATCCAAAGATGGCTGCTGCTGAATCAACGGAGGATAGTACAGCCTGGGAAGTGAACTACTCAAATCAGGCCAGGGGAGTTCGTCACTTTGCCCACCATCTCCATGCTGATGAGTGAGTCCCCCTGTCCCTAGTAGGGGATCATAGGAAGAGAGATCCCATTGTGGTCGTGACTGTGGCTGAAGGGAAGCTTCAAATGGTACAGTAAGGGGACCCGAGTGCTGCTGCTGCTGTACATGCTGGTCAAATACCTGTGAGGGTGGAAATATACTAGTGTGCTGAGGCAGAGGAGTGTATGTCAACTGCTGCACGCTGTTCTGCTGGTACAAGAGGGGATCGGTCACCTGGTACTGGTTATAGTCCCAAGAGGTTTGTGCCAACGGCTGCTCGTGTTGTCCAAAGGTAGTCATTTGTGTCTGAGTGCTTGGCGGGTGGAGGAGATTGTCCAGAACTGGAGGAAGATTCTGCCACATACGCTCGACTGTCACCCCTGGGTGACCGGCTGGTGGGGCAGCTGTAGTTGCAGGCTGAAACGGTGGCTGTCCGCCCCGCCCTGGTGATCGCTCGGCTGGAGACTGTAAGATTGATATACCCTTCCCTGTTAGGTCTGTTTTGGCCAAGCCTGGGGGAGGAGCACTGAAAACTTTGGGTGCTGATTGGAGCTGTTGCAGAGTCACTCCTGCGGTGGAAGCATCCCCCGATGGCAGAGGAGCATAAGTAACCTTCCCTTTGTCACTGAACATCATCAATGACTGTGTTGGTGTTCCCTTGGCACATACTTTGCTCAACAACCTGCCCACGTATTGATAAACTGATTTCAACATCTCCGCTGAAGGGGCCTGGAAGACACTGGCCCCATCCTTCACGTAATCAGGTGCCTTTTCTTGATTTGATACCTCCTCAAAAAACGACACAAACTCCCTTTTCCTTGTTTCACACTTGTACTGCGGCTGGTAAGGAACCAGATTTGCAAAGAGAGTCAGAGCCAGTACCAAACAGTGCCGGGCAGCTCCACTGCTCACCACTTTCTCGTTTCTAAAGGCATACTTTAAAACTCTGAAACTCGTCTGTTCCTCCTTAGGAAGAGTGTTGTCTTTTCTGTAATTACCCAATAGTATGGATAGTGCTGTGTCCAGTAGTTTGACACAATCGTCGTGAAGAAGGTGAGGTGTTCCCCGTTTGAGGGATTGCGTCACTTTTGCAGTACATGCAGAAAACATGGTGCATTCCCTGTCTTTACAGTTGAGCCAGTCAAACAGGTCTACACATGCTGGGTATGGTACGGGGATGACAAATTTGGCCAATCTCATTCCCTGGTGGTGATTAAGTTGGGTAAGCATAGCAAACAGCCCCGTACAGTGGACGATGAGGACGTGGACAAGGTTCATGACCGATATAGAGAGGGACTTTCTCTGACTGATTGTACCAAGGAAATGATAGATGGCCTGCCTCGCTGCCCAAATAGGTTTCCTCGCCTCCTTAATAAGAGTGCACGAGTACAACCACATACTGAAAACATGGTAGTACTGATCTTCAAGCTTCCAGTACAAGTAAGCAGGAGGTGCCTGGAAGCTGCCGTCTCTCCTCCAGAATCCACAAGGGTCTGAACGAGCAGATGAAGCTGACCCGTTTTTGAATTGGTGGTTAACCATGTTTTCAAGCTTCTGTACAGTAGTGTCTACTGGCAATGTGCCGTCAGTGAGGCAGCAGGCCCTCCAGGCTGAGAACCACTCGTCCATGCGGTTGAGATTACAGGGATCTAGATGGGCCTTGATGGTTGCATGAAAGGACTTGTGTATTGATGTAGCCTTACGCAAAACTACTACGTGCTGTTTGGTGAGTAGAAGGCTGATCGAAACTTGAGGGGAGAATATTGCCTGCAGTGTAGAGACTGCCATGTCACACGTTTTCTTACTAGCTAGGACTACACCAAGTCTACATAGGCCCACTAAGCTTTCCATATACACTGTTAGTGACAGGGCAGACACTTCATTGTTGGTATAGTGATGCAGTAAGAATTTTTTCTTTTGTATATCTTGATGAAGTTTGAACCCCTCTACTTTTCTCTTTATGGTTATTTCTGTAGCATATGCATCAAGCCACTTGGTAATGAAAGAGCCAACATGGGCTGCCAGAACTTCCCTGGTGGCAGACACATTCAGTCTGAACCAACCATCAATGTCCTTCTCCTCATCATTCTTGATGAGACACTGCGTCCTTAGCTTCACACTTACCCACACATTATGGTTGGGAGGTGTCAGATAGACGTCGCGCACTTTTTGCAAGCCGTAAAATGAAGTGGCCTGCTTCACCAACTGGTTCAGATCATCCATTGTTTCCAGTGCATGTTGCAGATCTTTTGCATTTGTACATGCAGTAAGCACTTGGTCATGATTAGGTCTATTATGATCTTTGACAAGTGAAGTGAGGGCATCAAAAGCCTGTAGTGCGGCAGCCTTGTTCAAGCGAACAAAGATCCCGTGAGCAAACCTGCAGGGTCCAACATCTTTAGTCGCTATTCCCCATAGCAGACATGCTTGTGCTTTGGTCATTGGGTCACCTGAATTTTTAAATTTTAGCACATCTCTTTCAAATTTCATAGAAGGGAAAGATGGGCTAGCCTTTTCTCTTCTCTTCAAGAGCTCGGCGTGAATGTGGTGGAATACAAATTCTGCCTCCTTCCTTGAGTCCTCGTGAGTTTTGGCTATTTCTCTGCCTTCTGAAAACATGCACCGACCAGAGGCCAGATGGTAGGCACTGTCCAGTTCATCACTGTTGACGTATTCCTTTAAAGCCTCGCTGTAAAATCCACCAATCTTCAAGAATCGTGCCTTTCTGCTGGCGTCGGCGGACATGTAACCCAGCATTTCTATCAGTGTCGACTTGTCCTTACGTTTGGCACACTGGGAAGCGTACACGTACGACAGATTGTCTGGTAGTAAGTCGTGGGACAGTTCAATCCCCTTGGAAGTGTATTCCACGGCTTTGGCCAGTGCTTCTTTTGGGGCACGGAACATTCTGACTGCCTCGTCGTAGCGATTCTCTCTTTCGAGAAGTCGGACACAGTTCTTCGTGTCTTTGATCTTCCTGTAACATTTGAGAGCCTCACCATACTGTTGAGAAAGGAAACAGAGGGGGGGTGGTGATTATTGAGGGCATTTCAAAACACAATTCCCGTCAAAGATCCCGTGCTTCAGAAGACACACAATAAGATATGAATGGGTACTAAACACTCAGGCAAATCCTTTTGCCATGATCTTCTGTCAGTGCAGAGCCATGCACATGTGCAGTGCATGGGCTAATACACACGATGGAGACACATGCAACAGGATTGGCAGCAGTTACGTAGGGACTCAAATCAACACCGGGGTGTGTGCATGACTAGCCGTGACCATTTTCACAAAAAAGAATCTCGCTTCCTTTGTGTGTGTATGGGGTCGGTAGCTATGAGGACACATGGTGTGCTGTAGGTACATTTCTCTTACAGAAAGAAGTAACACATGCTGAAAGCTATCATGCAATATACACATACTATCTAACCTTCCCCAGACGCTCAAACAGAACTGCAGCAGATGAAAACCTCTGAGGCTTGGCTCTCCTGAGGCACTGAGCTGCAAACAGGATACACTGGACACTGTGCACCAGCTGGTCCCTGCGGAGGAAATCCACGGCTGCCTGAAGATAGAGCTGGGGCTTCACCAGTTTAGATGCCTGCTGAACCACAAACCTAGCACTGGCTTCTACAGACAGATACACATTCTCGGGCCCGGCCCTGTCGTAGCAATGCTTTGCCTGTTCCCAGCGCGAGCGCCGCATGAAATAATCTCCCTGGACCTTCCACTGGTGAGGCTTCGATATCGATGCAAAGATCAAGCTGTGCTGGCTCTCCACTCCGGCCAGATTGTCTCCTACGACTTTCACTAGGCCTCGTTTGTACCACAGGTCAAACATCGGGAGTCTCTTCTTGTGGTTGGAGTCGTAGATCCACAGGTTGCACTTGGCCCGAGTGACGGCAGTGTAGAGATATTTTAGCTCAGAGTTGAGGGCCTTGTGGTGTCTCTCGTCGAATCTGTGGCTGCGTGGATCGGTGCTCGAACCAGGGAGTCGCCCTTTTACCTTGATACACTCGGTGTGCTCCTCGAGATATGCAGTTACCACTCTCCATCCCTTTTCATCAACCTGTAGGTTAAGGAGGTACATATAACGACTATTACACCAATTTATAACCGGTATCTATGCCCCAGATTTCTTACATTACAAGCAGGGAGGTGTATGTACAATTGGTTAGAAACAAGTTTTGTTCTACACCAGGAGTCCCCATTTATAAAGGTCATAGTTCTGCCGCATATGTCATACCATGGAGTCATGAAAGAAGTTGTAGAGGAGTACATCGTCAAACTCGAGTCCTTTAGACTCGAATATAGTGAGAACAATGGCTCCCTTTAGGATGGTCGGGAGCTTCTCCTTGGCCTCCTTTGACTGCACGAGCACCACTTGGTGTGCTCCAAACTCGATCCGCGAGCTCTCTCTCCGATTGCTGCTCAACAGGAGAGCCAGGTCGCTCTCCTCGCACGAGGCCAACACTACCGGCGTCGGACCGGAGAACATTCCCTTGTCGGCGGGTAGGTGGTCGATGGAGCCCTTGAAGAACATCTGGAGGAGGTCAATGATGCTCCCGGCCAGTTGAAGGATGCCAGAGTGCGAGCGGAAGTTTATGGTGAGAGTGTGCGGCTGCTGAGGGACCTTTACCTGCGGTACGACCTCGTGGATTGCGTGGAACGACGATCGGAGGTCTTGGAACCGAAACGCTATACCTCGCATGATGCTCTGGGCCGTGTCTCCCGTGAAGAAGAGGGAGTTGGGATGTCGGCAGCAGTGGAGGTAGAGTGCAAGCTCGGCCTGGGTGAAATCTTGGACCTCGTCGATGTAGAGGCTGTGGATGGACCAGGGGAGGTCTTCGATCGCTCTGAGACGACTGTGTAGGTCGTGGACCAAGTCACACTCGTCAAAGAGGAACACCGAGTGTCGCTTGTTCTGGCAGTACTCGTCGTAGCACTTGTAGAGTTTGTAGATTGTCTCCCGCTCGTTGGCAAAGTTGGGAGCCATCTTGTTTCCGATCTGGCGGTACTCGTCTGGGAGCAGTGCCGAGCAGTTCAGGAGTGCCTTTCTCGAGCCCTTGATGAACGACTGAATCTCGATCCACACCAGAAGAGGGTCAAGGTTGCGTACGCCACACTTTCTCGAGATTTCTGGCCAAATCTTCTCTGTGAAATAGAGCGAGGTGACCTCGACGTACTTGTGTGTTGGTTGTCGTGTGGGAGCAAACGGGACCGGGTGATCTCCAGCAGTTGGGACCTGGTCTCCTTCGCCGTCGCTGTCCTCCAGGTCCAGGAGAGTGTCTGGATCTTCGTGGTCGTAGTCTGAGCTCACAATCTTCACCCGAAGACTCCCGTCACTCTCCCGGGGACGGAAAAAGCACTCCTTGTCGCCAATCGAGTTGTCCAGGAGTATGTAAAACTGGCGGGCAGTTAGGAAGAGAGGGTAGGCGAAATCGTCAATTTCGGCAAACGAGTGGGGTATGTCTTTCGATTCCCAGTCCATGTGTGTGTCGAGAAAGTCGTGTGCAGCGGCCATGTCGTAGAGCCGCCTCTTCATCTGGGCACAGAGCACATAGTTCTTGGTCACAAACACCTGGTGTAGATGTTCTTCGATTTCACCCATTTCACTGGGGCTGTCTCCTGCACCACTCTCAAGGGCCTCTTCTTCGCTACCTTCAGTGGACTGTGTTTCTTCGCTGCCTTCGGTTGACTGCGTCTCTTCGCTGCCTTCAGTAGACTGCGTCTCTTCACTATCTTCAGTTGACTGCGTCTCTTCGCTACCTTCAGTTGACTCTTCTCCACTTTCATAAGACTCATCTTCATCCTCTTCTTCTTCTTCATCGTCTTCTTCTGGTGACTCATCTGCTACTCCATCATATCCTTTTGGTACTGAAGCTACAGTATGACTCACGAGTTGGGAATCGGAAACACCTGGTGTGACAACATCACCTTCCGTCGCCTCACTAGAGTCTTTATCTCGCAATTCAACCTCTTCTTCTTCGTCTTCTTTCACTTTTGGTGGCTTAAGAGCCATGAGGGGCTTGCGGGGGAGCATCACGACAACTGCACGGTCCCAATAGAGTTTGAACTCGTTCCACAGCCTGTAGAGGCAGCAGGTGGTCTTCCCGGTCCCGCTGCGTCCCAGCAGGAGTATCGACTCTGTATCCGGAAGGTTGATGATCTCGTGTTCCTTTGGCCACTCTTTGAAGGGGAAATCCCTCCGCGCATTGCTCCCGGTCAACATGCTCTTGAGGACAGCTCCGGAGAAAGAGTAGAATGTTGTCACGTTGAACTCGTCCTCCCGGGGACTGGCTGCAGGCGTAAACCTCTCAATTTCACCGCCGGAAATTTCCACGTCTGCCTGAGTGAAGATCTTTGGGATTTCTAGTCTCTCCTGTTTTCGAACTGACTGCTGCTTCTGCTTTCCCTCTTTCTGTGGTACAAGTGGCACGTTCAGAAACGCCTTCTGTCCCCTCTCATCGGACAGCTCGATTTGTTTGACAGTGTGTCTGATTGTCTGCGAGAGCTGGTCGTGATTGGGGACAATCTCCCAGACCCGTATGACCTGGGCATATATGGGATTGTGATGCTCTCCCGTCCTCCGTGGCGAGAACTGGATGGCGACCTGCCAGATGATGCGCCCGCCCTTGCTCAATTTGGCCTCAAACAGGTTCGAAGACTGACTACTCAGCTCCTTTGAGAGCTCTTTGCCTCTTCTCCCCTCAGCCAGCTCATACACAGTCCGGGCCGCTCGGAGCCGCAGAGTGTACGGATGCTCCTTCTCGTTCTTGAAGAACTTGAGGACGTTGTTGGTCACTTCGACTTCCCACGGGAGGCCGTCGAAATCCTCCAGGCCATACCGCGACATGACTGTGTTCAATTCACTCTCTCCATCGTCTGACGACAGTGGTTGAGGTGACGGGCTCTTGCTAGCCGCTCTGCTGGGTTCATTTGACGGCACAGCTAGAAACTCAGTTTCCTCTGAGGTGCCGCCATTTTCCACCTCTCTGATTACCTCAGGTGGCTTCTCAACTACTGTTATGAAGTATTCGCCTCCTTTTCCCAACACCAGTTTAAGGTGAAACTCCAGCTTTTCATTGACACTTAAAATCTCGTAAGAGTCCAGTCTTTTCATCGGCTTTGGTACGGGAACTGCAGCTTCAACTTCCGCAACTCCACTGTTTGTTTCACCCTGTTTCTCAATATGGGGACTGCTACCATTCGCAGCCCCCTCTTCGTTCTGTTTTCCATCGTTTCTCTGCTTCTTCTTTTGTTTCTTACCTTTTGCTGTCTGTTGTACCCTGTTTGCTGCTATGGCTAACACAGACAACCTCTTGTCCTTTCTGCTGGAAATGAAATCGGCCACTCGCTTCCCGTACTTGTCGCGCAAGGATGGATCTATTGGGATTTTGTGATTTTCAACGAGCGCTTTCAGCAGTTTAAGACTGTGTTCCTTCTTGACATTATTGACAGCCAAATGAAGGGGCGTACTCCCATTACTGTCAATGAATGGATCATGGGCTTCCATGCAGAATGTCTTTGAAGCCATGACTGCATCCAAAACTCTTGTACTGCCACCTGCACAATGTAACAGTAGACAGTGAGCTAAAAGAACACATGCTACATTCAAACATTCTGCATACTTTAGCACTATCTAACAAATTTAGGTAGCTAAACATAAGTAGAGCACATGCATACAACTTACTGGCTTCAACTCCGATTGTGACGGCAACATGAACTGGAGTAGTGGCATACTCACTGCCAACACACAACTGGTTACAGTCGCAGCCCCTTTCGAGCAGAATGCACACGAGGTCCACTTTCTTGGCAACGTTTGTCATCTTCATTGTCTCCGCCAGAGGCTTGTTGTCTCCCAGCCCGCACGGGTTCACACCACCATCGACCATCTTGACAATCAGCTGGTGGTGGTTCGTCAGGTGTTTGCTGGATCTCATGAGCCCGCCGAGATCCACCTCGGGGAGGGTGCAAAACGGAAGAAGGCTCTCGGCAACATCGGCGAGATTCTTTTCAAGAGCTAGAGCTAGGACCTCTTGTGAGCTGCAGGGTAGCCTGTATCCCCTCCTTGCCAGGCAGAGGATAAACCGGACTTTCTTGTTCTTCAGAGCGACCACGCCTATTCCATCCAGAGCGACGTCTTCTTGGACGTGTGAGCAGAGGATCTCAAACGCGACCGTACCGCTGTCGCCAGCCAAGGTCTCCACTGCAAGTCTCACGTCTGTCTCCCTGGCAGTCATCCCGCAATCAAACAGAGTGTTGAGGATATTGGTGTGGGTGATCCTATTCCGTATCAGCAAAGATACCGGTACTTTTGAACCGTTAAAGATAGGCGGGTTGGCACGATGTACAGGTATTTCGAAGAGGACCTTCACGTGCGTTTCCTTGACTCTTTCGTGTCTCAGAAGGCTCAGCAGTAAGTCAGTGGTGAAACCACTCTTGACGTGCCTGCGACTCATCAACGGCTCCTTTTTGCGGTCTTTCAGAATCGAGGACAACCCTAAGTGCAAAATATCACGGTGCGAAATAAACAACATGCAACTAGTTTGCGACTTGCGACTTGCTCTCTGGTCGCCAACATTGGCCCCCAACGTTTGCGTGTGTCGCATGCTCGTGGGATCCTGCGAGCGGGGGCCTTGCACACCTTTTGGCTTGCAAATATGCTCGTTCCTGGCTGTTTCTAAAGGACTACGAGGCTAGCATGCTTGCGTGAAGCATGAACGCGGTTATTGGTGGGGCAGGCTATAAAATGAGCCCCATAAAATACAAACACTACTTTAAATGCACATGTGCAAGTCAAAGGCAACGTAAAATCTCCATTTGGTGAACTACACGGCTACTAGCTCTAACCCTTCATTTCGCACACTGAAAATGTACGTAAAACGCACACAGAGGATGGGCTAACGGTGCCAAGGTTACATGTGACTTACGATTGTCAACGGCAAAAACAAGTGCCTCTGTGAGGGCTTTCACATTGTCCTCCATTCGGTGGCAGCTACAGTAGTCAGATACAACATTCACCGGAGGGATACTGCGTGGGACACTGACCAACGGAGCACTCAGTGCTTCTTGGAGCACAGTAGCTCGCAGGAAATGCATCTGTAACAAGATATAGTATTGGTTACTAAAACAAATGCCACGCATTTTTGGCAAGCGAGCACGAGAAGGTCAATATTTCGCACGTGTTTTGCGCATATTTAGAACATTACGGTAGTGACAGCACCCGACTGACCGATAGTTATAAACATATAGAAAACTACTCCTGCACTGAAAAAACTACTAGGTAGGCTCACTTTGCTCGCCAATAATACAAGCATATGCAGCAAAGTCAGAGCTACTGCACAATTAGGGTTAGAGATGATGCAATTACACTACATCACATTCTTACATTAAGCACGCAGTATTAAAATTTTCGTGATACCATAAAACAAACCTTTGCTGTCGGATACTCGTTCAGACCCTTAGTGCAATAGTCATAAGCAGTATCATACTGCTTGTAGGGCTGTAGGTAGAGTTGAGCCAGACTGTAGCACACTTCATTTAGCTCTTCCTTGAAGCTGTACACGACACACACAGCGAGTGCTTCTTGAAACTTGCGTTCAGCCGCCCTAGGTTTCCCTCCATTTCGCAGGGCCTCACCAATAGAATGTGAATGGCCTGCTGTTATCTGTTGTGTGAAATAGAGGGCAATAAGTTACATGCACACAGGTTAAAATGATTGTCACCTAACTTGAAGGGATTTCTATTGGCATCTGACTGCTAAATGCAATATACACCTACATGCTCTTTGTACAGCACAAGTCTAGATAATGGACACGATGAGACCAGGCATTTGGTCGATTATGGGGAGGTCGTCCGCAAACGTACTAGAGTGTCATTCGGGACCTCAAAGTGTGTCCATTATTGAGAGGTTATTGCCTTTATTCAATGTGTTCTTTATTGGAGGTTCTACTCTATTCATGGATATGTAAAAATGACCAGGGCAGAAGCACGATCAGGCAGACCAGCAGGGGGCTCTTCCCACTTTTCGGGCTCTTCCCTCCTTTCGGGAGCTCTGCTCTTCTTGGGACGGGCGTTTTCTTGCAGATAGCTGTCAATAACAGGGTGTACGTTAGCTCGTGGCCATCCAGTAAGGTCCTTCAGGTCCTCCACGTCCGGCGCTCCGCCATTTTCAATGAGACAGGAAACAAACTCAAGCTTTTTAGCTTTGATGGCCTCTTGGCACGCCGAGGTGAAGGTGCTCTTTCGTGTCCTGGCGCACTCCTTTGCCAACAGCTGCAGAACCTTCTTGTGGTTTTGTTCCCTGAGGACCTGCACGGCCAAGGCCACGTCCGACTCGTTTACCCTCATCCCGAGAGTTATTAGCCGCTGGATCAACTTGGAACTGGTGATGGATTTCTCTTGCAGAAGGGCAGGTACCCGAAGAGAGGAGAGGTCGATGCCGGTCTCGAACCTTTCGGGAGGAAGGAGGGCGAAGAAGAGTGCAGAGAAGTGTTTCTGTTGGCTGTCTTCTCGCTGTAGCAGCTCCACCAGGATCCTGGTCGCCAGACCAGACGCCACTTCTTCGTCGGTCAGGTTTGGAAGGCTCTTTGTGCAGTCTGTGGATGGTGAGCACAGTTGTAGGGATGAGTGATACAGTACGAGTCAAAATAATGTCAACTGTTTTGGTAGAGTAACTGTAGCACAGTTGTAGGGAGGGATGAGTGATTGATACAGTATGAGTCAAAATAGTGTCAACTGTTTTGGTAGAGTAACTGTATCACTCATCCCTCAACTGTGCTCCGTGGATGGTGAGCACAGTTGTAGGGATGAGTGATACAGTATGAGTCAAAATAGTGTCAACTGTTTTGGTAGAGTAACTGTATCACTCATCCCTCAACTGTGCTCCATGGATGGTGAGCACAGTTGTAGGGATGAGTGATTGATACAGTATGAGTCAAAATAGTGTCAACTGTTTTGGTAGAGTACAGCTATAAGGTGTAGAATACAGCCCGGGGAAGAGTAGAGTAGTGTAGTTATCGGTAACTGAACGGTAGGGTATGGTAGGGTAGAAGTGTTGACATCTAGCCTAGCGTGTACATGCAACTGCAGTTATGCATGTTGCATTATGAATTCTGCTGCAATTTGCTGATTGTACACATGCCGTCCATATTTGTAATAATACGGGCCTAGTAAGGCAACAACTGTGCTCCACTTGGCGCTGAATACACTACAATACATACAGTAGCTACCACTGTCTTCAAACAGGCTATAGAGTTTCCACAGGGAAATATGTTCTGACAAGCCCGAGCAATAATATAATCGTTGTACCATGAACCCATCGCTAACCATGGTTAGTGGCCACCACTATGGCCTGATAGATGACCTTTACGTTCTCGGCCTTCCTGTGGGACTGGAAGTAGTCCTCCACCACGTCAGAGAATGTCTTTCCATTGGGGACTCTGGTGCCCCAGTCAGGATTCTCCAGCATCTTTCTCAGGGCTTCTGCCCTCCGGTAGTAGCCCTACAATTAGGAGAACAGAGTCTCAACACCTCATGTACATTCACTAGATTGAGCATTTTGGGGCATGTGAGGGCGAGCAGTTCAATATTTTGCGCGTGTGTTTTGTGCGTATTTAGAATCACATACAACATTATGGTAGTGCAGTGCCCATCACATAAGAAAATTCTCACATGAAACGACTAGGTAGGCCCCCATGTCTCGCCAACCAGTCGTGCGCACAATTCACATGAAGTGTTTCTGAGTTACCATACAATCATGCAACACTTCAGTAACCATAATATACTAATTTCTCTAATGCAACACTTGTACGTACAGAATTCAGTACCAATAATTGGGAAAACCAATACTTGGAATTCAGTACAAATCATTGGCATTTCTAACATACATACAGCACTTGTATGTACAAAATGCAGTAAAAGTTCCATCGGGGGAAGTTATTATAGCCCCACATTACATCCGTTATGTAACACGTCACACTTATACATACCTTTGCTGATTCAGGGTCGAGACGAAGACACTCGTTGGCATGGTCAAAGGCATCCCTATAGAGCTCCAGAAGGAGACAGGCCTGGGCACAGTTGCCCCTGATTCGGGCTTCTTCTTCCTCCAGCTTGTGTTGCTGGCACAGGGGCAGAGCCCTGTAGTACCTGGCCAGGGCTTCTTGATACTTGCCACTGCGGTAGTAGGCGTTTCCCTCCGACTTGAACTTAGAGACCTTCTCCTGCAGTTACAGTGGAACCTCCGATAAGGGACCCTTTGAGATAGGGACGACCTCTCTACAAAGGACACTTGTTTCAACCCCATGCTAATACTTTAGTGTATTATTTGACCTCTTAGATAGGGACGACCTCTATACAAGGGACAAAATTGTTGGCCCCATAGTGTCCCTTGTTCGGATGTTCCACCGTACATTATACCAGTGATACACAATCATTCTAGGGGCACCCTCTATAATCATACCTCAGGCGGTACAGGAGGAGCTGCCCCACGTTTCTTGAGGCATTCCAAAAGCTGAGGCTTTTTTGATTGCTCTGCCGCCACATACGCCAACGAGAGACTCTCGCTGGGCAAACCCTTGCAATTGGCGGCAATTACGTCGAGAGTACCAGATTTTGTGTCCGGGAGTAGCTCCACAGCCCTCGCTACGTCTTGTGGCGAGATTGGCATTCCGTACGATATCAATGTGGTGAGCAACTTCCGCCTGAGCGACTTCTTGCACACGACGGAGAACTGGATCGAGGAGCAGTCAAAGTGGTAGCGATTGTGCGTCCGGAAGGGTATCTTGTGGAGGAGAAAGCCCAAGTGAGCGTGTTTGGTATCTTGTCTCTCCAGCAGTTCCTGGAGGACTTTAGTTGAGGCTCCACAGTTGATGTCTCCGTCTACAAACTCAAACCGCATCGGAACGGCTGTTGAAGAAAGATTAAGCTCTCAATTTTACACTTGCGGTTTACAAAATGTTCATGTAGGGTAAACATCCTTTCCCATGTGTAAACAGAAAGTCAAAACACCATGCACACCCATGCACGCATTAGAGGTATGTAGCTCTCGCAGGGGTTAAGTCAGAATTGAAGGAGCAACATGTAAGACTGGGTCCACAATAATGTCGCATTGCCCCCGTTGCGCTGTGTCGAAAAAACGAAGAAGATTTAGCTCTTAATTTTACACTTTCGGTTTAATCACACACAATATTGAAACATCCTTTCCCATGTGTAAGTAAACAGAAATTCAAAACAGCACGCAAACCCACGCACGCATTACAGCCAGCTCTAGCAGGGGTTCTAGTCAGGAGGCAATTGAAGGAGTCCTTGCCACAGTCACTAACAAAGACTACACTATAAGGCTGGGTTCCCAATAATGTCAAATTGCCCTTAATGCACTGGGTCCTTTTGTATAGTTCTATGTTTAGTAGCAGTTCTAAAGTTAGCCGTTACCTACGGCCGCCACGTTCCCTTTAAAGATGAGAACAACCCCCCCTTTCCGCCTCCCTGCTAGCTAAACTCTGTCTCACAATTGTCCACTGCAAGAACGATGGCTTCAGAGATGGACTTGGTGTCAGCGTTCTTTAAACAGAAGCAGTCGCAGTAGTCGCGGATGGAGTCATTCAGCGCACGGGCCGTCCCGGGGACACCTCTCCTCACCATGTCCTGGTAGAGGAGTCTGGATGCCTCGGCTCGACGGTAAAATGCCTGGGAGTGTGGGAGAACCACATATTCCACATAGTGTTTGTTTGCACAGAATGTCGAAATGAAAGTTATGCGCATAACTTTCATTTCGTACATGGCTACTAGCGCTAGTAGCCATGTACTAGGTAATACTTATGCAATACTTATGCTAGTAGCCATGAAAAAACATGTTTATAGCATACTAGCTAAAAGAATAATATCAGAGGAAAAGAAAGAACCTCCCCCACCCAAGCATACAAAAACACAGACAATAACATACCCAAGCACACAAAAACACAGACAATAACATACCCAAGCATACAAAAACACAGACAATAACATACCCAAGCACAAAACACAGACAATAACATATAAACAGAAAGAAAGAGGCAGGACCCTGGGTGCCCAGCCTTGAGAACCGGGTGGTAAGGTTAAAGAGTCTTTTATGGGCCCAAGTAGGTAATAGGTACATATATATGCATGTTGGACACATTACTAGCAGCACACATACTTGAAGGTTGCATTAGCAGCACACACACACACACACAACGGTGGTACTTATGTACAGTGTCCTATATATACCAATCATTAAAATCCTCAAACAGTGGAACCTCACTATTCCAGCCACACTTGGGACTGAACACACGGTAGTGAGGTGGGCTTGATCTCAGGGTAAGGTGGTGTGGGGAACACATGCACAGGTTGATCAATCGTTCCAAGCCATTGACTGCCTCAGTGCGGTGGCTGGATTTCAGAGGATTGGCTTTAGTGAGGTTCCACTCTATCACTA